TTTTGTCAAAAGATGAATCAAATTAAGAAAGTATTATGAGATAAGAAATTAGATTTAATGTTATTGAAGTTATATGAATATTTATAAGATGATTTGTTATGTAAAGTAGTAGAATTAGGATAATGAATTTGTATTTATTTGAGATGTTAGGAAGTTTCTCGACAGAGGCAACTTTCATATCGAATGTTGCCTCTGTCGAGATGTATGTGACAGGCAAAGTGCAATCGTCTTATAGTATTGCACTTTGCCTGTCAAAAGTTCTTCGCATCTCTTGAGGTGTGAGGAAGTTTCTCGACAGAGGCAACTTTCATATCGAATGTTGCCTCTGTCGAGATGTATGTGACAGGCAAAGTGCTAACGTCTTGTTATTGCAAAAAGATTGTGCCATTGTGGGAGACATGCATAGGCAATGTCTCCACGGATGGCACATTGTTACCGACAAGAGTGCATAATACACTCTTCTCGGTCAAAAGTTCCCCAATCAACTTCTGATTGAGCAAAATTGTATCATTATCTGAGGCATGCACTAGCAATGTCTCCCAGAATGAGATATTAAGACTGACATCAATAAAGCTTTTTATATAGTTGAAACTAGATTCATTCTTCATAGCGTTCAAATTTTTATTAGAAATAATGTAGTTAATGCTAAAATTGTAGTATTTACGTAGTGATAATCATATTCATACTGTAATTCATGTGATTATAATGCAAACCCACTAAGTAATTCTTTTGCTAAATTGAAATTGAAAATTTGATTATGCCATTTTGAGCTCGATGTATTAAATGTAAAACATTTTTCATATGAGAATGCAAAATCCAAAGACTTTTCTATTTGTTAAGTTGCTTGAATCGTGAATTTGGAATTTTTATCAAAATATGGGCAAATAAGCTCGGCGTTGTCACACATTCACTCCCCCTGAAGTTGTGCTTTAATCAGAAGTCATGCTATTTTTCCAAATTTTTTTCAAAATAGAGAAAATGATGAAAAATCTCTCATTTATTACATTCAAAATTTTAAATTTGAATTTTTTTTGGAAAATTTGTGATTCAAATTTCAATTTCTCCAAGTAAAACTGAAAATATTAACAGATCAAATCATAGAATTAACTTATCAAATTCTGTTGTATTCATTTCTTGCGATAATTCCGTTCAAAAGCTTTGTTTAAATCTATTTATTTTAATAATAATAAAATAGATAGATCTCCGCTATGAAAACATGATACCATGCTGATATGAAATATGAGTTAACATATAATTAAAAAGTTTCTACAATTAATAAGAAATTTATTACTAACTCTTTATTTTAACTATATTGAAACTTTTTATATGCATTCTGGCCAGTAAAGATCCAGAGAACCACATCTGCATCAATTTATGCTGAAGATTTCTGGATTTCATTACTCTTTTGAAAGACATCCAGATATCTTCAGCATAAATGAATTACATACATGTTCTCTCGCTCTTTGTGAACCACCTACCACAACAAAATTACCTTAGGGCAAAGTTCGGCTGAAGTCTCCCATATGATGAGAAAGAAACTTTAGAGCAGCTTGCCATATCCGACTAATTACACAATCCCTAGCCCTTTGGGAACTATGGAGCTGTAGTAAAAGTATTATAAGGCAAAGTCCTTCCGAGGCCTCTCATCAAATGCGAGACTTCGGAAGGACTTTGCCTCATTCGAGTAATTCTACATTCCTGGGACGTTAAGGACCAGGAAGCAGCAGTATAAAGTATGAGGGCAATGACGTATAACTAATATCTCAATAAACGCAGTATCCATGCAGCCTAGCTACTATACCATTGCAGCTAGGCTGCATAGATATTGCGCTTCTGGCTTGCAGAACTCTCATGGTAGACTAAGCGGAGATCTGATGCTGAAATCACTTGCTGATGTGGATGGAGCAGCACTATGATTGGCCAGACCAAAGGCTGCGTAGCATCTCAGCAAGTAGATTATCAGCGGTGACTCCAGCTATGGTCCACCATGAGATTATGACATTTTTGCGATTTGACGGGAATGCTTTGACCTTTACGAGTAAAATCACATCCGACACCTTTGATGGGTCAAGAAGTAGTGGTATACAAGAAGTGTTGGGATTGCAAAGATGAATCTGAATAGACGCAAAAGTAAGAGAGACAGGCGTGAGATAACCGGTAAGAGTCAATGGAAAGTATCGAAGGTGTCTCTAGTTTGAAAGTCCAAACAGCTGCAGGGAATTAGTGTTGGGCCTTAATGCAATTGATCATCAGAAACTATTTATTACTACACTTATCATCATTACATGTTGTGCGATGTAATAACTAAGAAAGAAATAGCTCAGGAGATCAATGAAATTCTCTTTGGCTAGCTCTTCGAGACCAACTCTTTTCTTCATGTTTTGTCATTGCATGTTGTGCGGTGCAATAAATAATGAAGATTTACTTGGCTGCTCGAGAGAGAAAACCAAATGAAAAATGGCACCTTTTTTGGCGCCTCTTTTTCTTTCAAATTTCCCCGCCAACCGAAATATCCATTCAAATCTTCCCGCAAATATTATTGCTTTCAATTTCTGTGACACTTAAAATTCGTCTAAAATATAATATTAAGATAGGTTATCCAATGTGATAACATAATTACTCGCTTATTTGCAATTATTCCTCAAATCAATTCTATTTTAATGCAAATCATGCGGTAAACCACTAATAAATGATAAGACATATATGCAAATACTCACTAAAATCTATGTGTATGCTCAAAACTAGAATAATACATCAACTTAGATATTGAAGATTCAGATCAACTAATAACTTATATCATCCAAGTCTGACTCTTGCATGGCTTAAACACGGCTCGAAACGGTACGACCAGATTCAACAGTTTTCCTCAATAACAGGTTTCACCGCACAAAACTGAATTTTGGAGGGTAGCACACTAAAAAAAATTATTCCAATTTTGTAAAGCTTGAGTGTCAAAAAATTGAGAGAATGTCAGAAAGGGAGGAAAAAAAATTGGCATAAAGATAAATGAATACTCCCTGCGTCAATGATATGACTTTATCACTGACCATATTGCACATTATGTTTCAAGTGATTTTTAGATTAGGATATTTAAATCCTTTAGACTTTTACTTCAGTCCTCATTTTATATTTCGCAACTACGAATTTCATCGTTTATACTGCTGTAATTTCTACTCCGAGTGCTCTATTCCGTTGTTTATCGTCCAATTATATATTTTTTATAAGGCTTCAACGAAAATTGAAGATACTCATTACTATGATACACCTGGATCATTTTTATTCTTATCATTTTATGTTCACATTGGAGCAGTAATATCTGGATTTATTGAACCCGAGCCAGGATTGTTTTCAAGAAATATTTTAACGTTTATATTTTTATATTGCAAATTATTTTCAAATTCTTCAATTGGTATTAACAAGATATATTCACATACAATACCCTTAACATTTTTACCATTTGCTTATCTAGCTTTTGAATTTATCTTCTCACCAGATTCAAGGAATGTTGCTAAGCTATTCATATTCTTTTGGTCACACCTTTACTTTGTCATTAGATTCATGCCAAGCACAAGTACTCGCTTCCTTCAAGCTCCTTTGTGGCTTGATCAGTTCCTACTAAAGATTTTCATGACCATGGATTAAGCAGTTACAATGACTTACAAAATTATTACTCATCTCATACTTTATATAGTAATTTTATATCATTAATCAAGAAATGGTATTATATTGAGTCTCAGATATAAGACATTAATAATATATTATTTTTGTTTGTAATAAATCTGTTTGTATATTTGCAAATGCCGCAAACAATTTTTTTTACCGGAGTATTCTTTTATTGTGTTGATAACAGAGATGTAAGAAAAATTACATAACAATTAATTTATTACTCCATAAAAAGACTATATTTGATGAAGTAAATAAACACTATTAAAAGTATTTTCATACAATATTGACATTTCAGTGTTAATCATATACCCAAGTGATATAACAGCTAACACCAATGACAGATACACTCAGTTTATGAAAATTATAAACTTTAAAGTATACATAGGGCAAACCCAAATTTTAGCTAAAAGTGACAGGGGAAAAAACGTTTAGTATTAAAAAAAAAGACCGATGAGAGCTTCGTTCGAAATATAGAGGGAACTGAGAATGCGCAACCATTCTCAGGGAATATTGGATGCTATTCCCGTTCCCTCTGTATGGAAAATTGAGGTTTTCAAAGGGAGTTAAAATAATATCAAATTTATACTAATTTACTTCAAAATACAAAAGTATTTGACAGCTAAAATTAGTTACTTTAGCAAGCCTATCAATACCCTTTTACGATTATTGTTACTTTTTCGAAATAAAAATAATATCAAATTTATACTAATTTACTTCAAAATACAAAAGTATTTGACAGCTAAAATTAGTTACTTTAGCAAGCCTATCAATACCCTTTTACGATTATTGCTACTTTTTCGAAATAAAATAAATTTATTATCAAAAACCTTTTTTTTTCTTAGTAAAAATAAACGAAATTTTTAACCTTATGAACTTTTGATGGAAATATGCAAATTTAAAATAATAAAGAAAGCCGCGAGCGAAGCGATCGGCTTAGTTCGAAGATTTTGATTCAAATCTTTGCTGATCTGTAATTCGCGGAAGCCGCGAGCGAATCGAGCGGCTTAGGTCTAAGATTTTGATTCAAATCTTTGCTTATATTCCTTAAATTCTTTATGAAACTCGCAACAGTTCCATAAAAAATTTTAAATTCTAAACTGTCGAAATTACCGATCGGTAATCACACCCTTCACGGGTGTGTCACTTTTAGCTAAAATTACCCCTACTCCTGTGATTAATTTTTCAAAACACCTATTGAAAGATATCAAAAATCTGTTGTTTATCAGAACCTTCGTATATTTATTCGCACAATAATGAACAGCATATTTAAATCCAAAATTAAAAAAATTTTTAGACATTGATTCAAAAAGTATTTTTCAGAGGCTAAAACGGAAATGTGCGCCCTGAATGAAAACACTAGGGCCAATAGAATAGTTTTGGATCCAATGACAATGGTTGATAACTATCAAATTATCAATCTACTTGGTCAAGGAGGATATGGCGACGTTTACAAAGCAAAAAATCTAAATGATGGTAAGTACTATGCATTAAAAACCGAGTATTTAGATGCTCCTAAGAAAGCAATTGATAAGGAAATTACTTTTATCAAGTCATTAAACTCCCCCTACTTTCCAAAAATTTATGCTAATGGCCAGAGTTCCAATTTTAAATATGCAGTAATGGATCTCTTTGGAAAATCAATAAGCGATTACAAAAAGAGTCTTTTCAGCAAAACAATCACGGGACCAATATTAATCCATATTGGTATCGAAATGATAAAGGCTATTAGAGCATTCCACAAAGAGGGATATATCCACAGAGATATTAAGCCAAGCAATTTCTTGTTTAGTAAGAACAAGGAGTGCCCAATTGCACTTATTGATTTTGGCTTGGCAAGAAAGTTCATTGATCCTGAAACAAACCAGCCAATTCCTCCAGCAGAAAAGCCGCATTTTGGAGGCACAAAGAAATACGTTTCAATTAGATTACATGAACATAAGGATTCATCCTTTGCGGACGATTTAGCTTCATGGTTTTACACAATGGTTGAATGCTGGCGTGGTAGACTTCCATGGGCCAACATCCGTGACAAAGATGACGTTGGAGAGAGAAAGAAGAGTATTTCTCCAGGAGATCTCTGCTCTTCTATGCCAACCCCTTTCAGGGACCTTTACTCATACATATTTTCATTAGAATATTACGACGTCCCCGATTATGATAAAATCATTTCAACACTCGAGGGAATTTTGAACACAAATTATTCGTCTGCTCAAGTAAATTTACATGAACTTTACTTCAGAATCCATAAAGATGATCAACCGGAGGCAGATGCAAACCAGCCTGAAATAATTATGCCCGAGAAGCCTATGCCAGAACCAGAGAAGACTAATGGATGCTGCCTTCTAATTTGAACAACTTAATCTTACATATCTTTGAAAAATTGTTTTTATAAAATATCTTTTTATTTACGAATTTCAACCACAATTTGTTTACAAATATTCCAGAAATGAAGGTTCCTTGATTGCAATATGTCTCGATTTCTATTGTTACCGCTGGGATCTTACTTTCAAATTATAAACTTTTTTTGGGATCGTTTAGAAGAGTGGTTCAAAAATATGGAATTGAGATTTACATCAAAAATTACGGAAATTTTTGTAAACCCCTATTCAAATCGTATTTTTATAAAACTTAAATATTCGTAGATCAATTGCTGATATTTATTTTTAGTTCATTTATATTTGTATTTGAAAATAGAATATATTGATAATTTGTGAAGATAACGATAACAATTTTTCTTTATAAAAAAATGTTAGTGCCGCCATCCCAAGATTTCCTTTTATCAGGTCTTGAGAATCTTGGCGGCACAAACGGGGTTGAAAGTCAAATCCGGCAGTTCTTTACCTTCTTGTTGGATAAAAAAGAATATGTAGAAAGCCATGAAATTCAAAATTGGTTTTCAGCAGACTTTTCTTATTTCCTAAGAAAGCTAAAAGCAATAAGAAGTGAAAATACAGAAAATTATCAATGCTCTGTTTCAATATACAATTCTTTCCTTAGCTTCATTCGAGATTACGGAATTCGACCCAACTTTTTAAAAATAATATCGAATTTCTTTGATAAACAAAATTTCCTTAATATAGCCGCTTTCGAATTCGATAATCCATTACCAAATGACGAATGTTTAAATGATATTGAAAACGTTTTACAAACTTCATACCAGAAAGATGAGCGTAACAGCATCCAGTTTATTCTCCTTCTGTTTTCTACCCATGTTATCCATGCAATTATCAAATACGTCCAAGAAGATGAAGGAAATGATTCGTCTTTGATACATTACATTAAGATTATAAGGGTGATATTCCCATTTGTATCGAAAACGATTAATTCTTATCTGATTACAACGACTTACAAGCTCATTTTTGATAAAAAATTAAAGGCGAATTCGAATTTCCTTCAAATCCTTGAATTCATCGAACAATTCTCAGTCTTCAAAGTGGTATCTGCTGAAGATATAATAGTTTACCTCTTCAAGATCCTCGAAACTAACTATTCTTACGCTGGGGAAATAATCACAAAAGTTCTGGTTTTTTATTCTCAATCGAACAATGAAGAAATCCTTCTTGAAATACAAAAACAAATACAGAATTCCCTTTTGAGCACTTCGAATCCTATGGTTTTCGTTTCTGTTCATTCATTAATGAAAAAATACAAACCAACAAGGCTTTTTACAATGGATTTGATACCAAAACTCATATCTGATACTAGAGTTGAAGATGTTAATGTCAAAACATCAATAATTAAACGAGCAATCAAATATTATGAATTTAATCAAACAGATATCGCAAATGAGATGATCAAATCACATTTCCATTCATCTAAACTCGAAATTTACTTGATTGAGAAGGTAGACAAGTCGATTGCAGCAGAATTATTTAAATTATTCTTAGAAAACGCTACAAATGAAGAATTGATCGAGATAAAGTACTCAGACAAGAATAATGTCTTAGAATCCCTTATTATTAGCTCATTCGAAACCGTTTCCGGTCCTCAATTACAAATTTTAATCAGATTGATGACAATTGCTAAGCTTAATGGGCCAATATGCACATTCATAGAGCGATCATACCAATCCGGCAAGAACTACCAGCTCGCTGATAACTTTAAGCCACTTTTATCCAACATTAAAGAAAGAACAACTTTCAAACTCCTTTTCGGCATAGTTTGCGACCACATGACCTCCGGGGAAGACAATGAAATACTCCATTATGCAGCTTTCTTCCTACGAGACTGGATTTTGGCCGGAGAACCGAGTTGGTTATCAAAAATTATTGAACCACTGTTCATGTTAGAGAACATTAAGATCACAGATGCGATTCCCTCATTTTTAGATGCCATTTTCGAAAGGATCCCGCAGCACACGAGGACTTTGAACTTCTTATTCAAATTAATCGAACAAACCGTCCCCCAAAAGTACTGTTTCTGGCTTATCGATAGCGTAATGAGGGAACTCAGGCAGGACAGGACCAATTCCAGGGAAATCGGAATGTTTATGGACATATTACTTGAATTATTAGAAAATCCAGCAACAAGAACCTGCGCAATCGACATGTTATACTACACATCATGTATCAATGCCGATTCCAAGGAGAACAACTGTTGCGGAGTTGTCAAAGACCTTGTTTTCGAACACAGAGAGAAATTATTGAACACGAAAATCATAATTAACCAATGGCACACATGCAACAGGATTTTCCTTACTGTATCAAGGCTATACCCTGTTCTCAAGCACTACAATATAACAGTGGACATGCCAAATGGAAAAGAGAAAACGTTGAACCAAAAAGAGCCAATTTTCGCTTTGCCAATTTCCGAAAACAGCGAAATCAGAATGAGAATCTCTAATAACGATAGGACAGAGAATACCCAGAAGCCTCCGGAAATGACATCAGCATCAATTGCGATGATTGCGTCATTGTTTGAGACGAATTACCAAATCTTGGAAAAATATGCAAAAGAAAATTACAAAATCCAATGTATTCTTGTGATGATGGGTCTTTCCGAGCGATTCTTTAGTGAAAACACTATAAGTTCCCAGTCAAATCTCATTTATCCTTATTATATTAATTATTTGGTCAACAACAAACCGAATGAGCTTGATTTGACACATGTTTTAGAGTTACTAGGTGACAACTATTTCGACCCGATTGCGGCTGCTACAATATCTCAATCATTGCTCTCATTTAAATCAAAAGTTCAAATTTCTCTGTCACTTTTTAAAAAATTAATTTTCAATGATTACCAGTGCGTCAGGGAATTGACAGGCAGCATTGTAGATTACAGTAATATGCAGGATGTACTAGTAGGAATGATACACGAGACATGGAAACCTCCTTTCCGAGAAAAATCTGAAGAATTTTACGAAATTTTGTCAACTTTTGACATTCCGAACCTAATTTTTGCCGAAAACATCAAAGACTTAGATCCTTATGAAGACGGATCCAATTTCGACACTGCTTTCGTTGGTTTATTGACTAATTTAGATCCATCAGAAAATAATTTCGAATTAATTTACCAAAAAGTGTTTTCCAGACCTGTATCCGATATACAGCGTTGTCCTTTCATTGTCTCCCAGTTCGCAAGAAACGCGGCGTACGAATGGCTTCTAAAAGAAGAAAATCGAGAATTTTTTGTCAACAAATTATTTTTGATTCCTTTTATCAAAGAAGAAGAGCAGACAACACTGGCGTACACAGGGCATTCAGGTATAAAGAACATTGGTGCTACTTGCTACGTGTCTGTATTGATACAATGCATGAATACGATGCACAGATTTGTTGAAAAACTCTTTTTAAATAGTGATATTGAAAAAATGTCACCTTTTGTTCAAAAATTGAGAAAATTATTGGCATCGAGTAGATTTATTCGCGGTAAAACAATTGATCCGAGTGAGATGCTCTATGAAATCAAAGACTTCTCAGCGCAAACACAACAAGACGCCGTTGAAACATATTCATCGTTTATTAATAAAATTGATGAATTTGACAAAACAATTTTAGATCCAATAACAGGGAAAATCGAACGAACAAATATGAGTGGAGATGTAACAATTGCCGTAAAAGAAGAGCCGTTCTATTATTTGAGTATAAGAACAAGATCTGTTACTTCTTTACAAGATGGATTGAAAAGAGCTTTTACTCCTGAAATAATTCCTAATTATCATATGTCTAATGGAGAAATAGGAGTAATGAAAACAAGATTCTTTGTCTCAAAATGGCCAATGTATTTACCTTTCGTTCTGCAAAGATACGAATTCGATAAAAATCTTGGTTCAAGAATAAAATTGACACATCGCATTGAATTTCCGATCATTTTAAGATGTGACGAAATAGAGAAAATTACTGGGTCGAGGCCTCCTGAAGACTATGAATTATGTGGAGTAATAGTTCATTCAGGAACTGCTCAATCCGGGCATTACATTGCGTTGGTCAATTCCAACAATGTTTGGTACGAATGCAACGATGGAGATATTTTCGAAATTGACATCACGAAAATTTCGGAATTGGCGTTTGGAACGAACGATCCAACGGAGAGGAAAGGCGAAACTGACGTTGTATCGAAGACTGCCTATATGTTATTCTACAGGCAAAGAACAGAAGAAGCTATGAACAACAGAGTTGGTGTTGAAGATTTATTGACAAAACAAATTGAAGAAGAAATTGACAAAAATTGGTCAAATTTCATTTACAATTCCAGTGATTTGTGTTCGATGATTTACGACAAATTCAAAGAGAATGCACAAGATGAGAACATAAACATCTTGTTCTTCACAACAATCTTCAAGATATACTCTTCAAAACCATCAATTGCTTCTTCAAGATTAAATAGAATTCCAACTGATGATTTGACAGTTAATTCTTTCTTTAAATTCATTGATAAAGTGATAAATGTCCATATGATGGATATTTTCGATACTCCTGTCAGTGAAAACTTTTCAAGACTAATAACTACATTCCTACAAAAGGAATCAGATATTTCTCATTATTCAATAATCGTCAAATATTGGACAATGAAATCTCATGACGATAAAAATGTCACTTTTATTTTAAAGATGATGAAAAAGATGCTTGAAATAGAGGACACAGATTGGACACCATTTTATGAAAGCCTTGTAAATTGCATAAGAATTTTGTCTGATTTAGTTAAAAATGACAAACATAGAACAACAAGTTTGTATCCGAAGACATGTTTGAGTTTGATCAATGTTTTAACAAATAACATGGACAACCAGACAATTGTAAGAGTTCTATGCGAACTGTCAATGCAAGAAATATTCTTAGTAATTCTAAAACTCGTCAAAAAAGAAGATCAATTGTCACTTTTTGTCAAAGAAATCATTGACAAATATCCTGAAATTTTGATAGGAATTCCATTACCTGAATTTGTTTATAAGATTATAGAAGAGTCGATTAAGCTTGAAGATATACAAAACTACAATTCAGAGCTTAAAGAAATATGTCCTTCTTGTTATGATGGAATTATTTTGAGAGCGAACAGATGTTTACATGAAAACATGTTGAATACGACGAATTACAAGGAAGGACTTCTTAAATTATCAGCGAGAGCATTGCTTCTAATGGATAAGAAGCAGAAACCAATGACTGCACAACAGAATATCTACAAACCAGTGAATAATTACCAACCTCCTCCGCCTCAAAATAACCAACAAAATTATCAAATTCAGATGATGAATTCTGTTCAATATCAACAAGCTTTGCAACAGCAACAACAGATGTATCAGCAACAGCTGTTGTTTAACCCACAGATCAGACAGATGCTGATGCAAAATGCTCAACAGAATCAGCAGAGTCAATTAATTCAACAACAACAAAAAATGCTGTCTCAAATGCAAATGTACCAGCAACAGCAGCAACAGTTAATGAACCAGCAACAAATGATGAATAAAAATGAAGAAAATCTTCAGATGAAAGGTTACGTAATTGATGAATTTCCATCAGAAAAACCTTTCTCTGTTGAAATGTCTACAAATTTGGAAATTTTCAAACCAGTGAAAAATGTGAAAATTTCAACTCCAAATTGCCAGTTGCCCGAAAATTATGAAGCAGGAAATTATTCAGCAGATGGATCGCCAATTGCTATTGAACCAGCACCGGCTTTGTGCTAATTATTATTAATTAATAAATTGTTTGTATTAATTCAATTTTTTTTATAAACCAGTCAACAAGAAATAAGTTAAAACGTCGATGAAAAATTGAGCGTTTTTAAAAAAACCGCCGTTTGAGAGGAAAATTGAGAGCCCCGATGTATACTTTTTGACATTGTCAAAAACTTTGAAAGGAGCAAAAAAATTTAGTGTCAGAAAGTTTACAAATGTATACTTTCTGACGAACAGACTCTCAGAAAGTACTCAAACTGCGGTTTTTATTTTCCGCACTTTTTTGGCGACTTTAATAACGTTCGGCAAACATAATTATAATCTGCCTAAAGATGAATTAAGAAAAATCTGTAAGTAAAACATTTAAAAACGGAAAAAGAAGTATGAAACTCAATTTAAAAAAATGAGTAAAACAGAATTTATTGATTCAAAGATATACATTCTATATAATAATCTTTATAAAGTCATACTGATGATTCTGATGTCAAATGTTTAATCTTCTATTCACTGGATCTATAAAATTTAAATTTTAAGCAATGAACACTTAATGTCCATCATCACACATTTAGATTCTCGATGAAGGAATAGGTTTTTTTGGAAATTCCCTTTATCCATTGGAATGCATTATATAGAATCTCTCCCTCTTTGTAGCATCATGATTGACTTAAAAATGTCTGCTATTTTTGTAACGAGCAAATTAAATCGATCAAAGTTAAAACCACCAATGAAAAGACTACCAATTAAAAATATTAAAAATATCATCAAACCAGGCACACCAATCAAATCAGACCAACCAATTGAATCATCTAGCGAAGTAGGTAGTGGATCGTCTTTGCCGGAATCATTTTCATTGAATTTATATTTATATTCTGCACTATTCATTGAAATCTTTTTTTCGACTGTGATTTCGATGACTTTATCAATATTGACCAATTTTGCTTGAATAAAAGTTAATTATTAATGAATTCTTATTATTGAGGCAAAACATGCGGCTATCAGTAAAATTGTATTGATATTTTTCAAAATTTGTTATCTTACGAGCTTCTTTTTTCAATATCTGTAAAAATTCTTCCAAACTTTCTTTTACTCCATCAGTATATATATATTTCTCTTTGAACAAATAAATGACTGCTTTATCTTCATACTCTGTAATGCTGGATAGTTTGAATTCCCATGAAGCATATTTAAAATAGAATCCTTCGTAAATAATATGTTTTTCACCATTTTTCTGTATTAAATAGACAGTAATTCTTGGTTGCTGAGCAATGAATGAATTAGCGTAATCTTTATTATTAACATTTTGAATCAGACTTAAGAAATCCTTTGATTTCGATTCTTGTAAGTAAACAGCAAGCATATATGTAAATGATATTAAATAAAATAGAATCTTATAGCACTTGTTCATCTGAATCAACAATGAGAAATTTGAATTTGTAAATTTGATTGAATTTTTGATAATGGAAAATTTTTCAAACTCTCAACTTTTTTCTGAATTTCTAACTCTTTAATAAATGACAGAAGCCAGTGTAACATCGATTTAAATTCTTGATAAATTATTTGAAAATTATAGTCTATTATGTTTATTTATCATTTAGGGTGAACTTACCATTTATCAAGAATTTAGGGAGCATTTAGCATTTTCTGACAAGCTCTCACAAAATCAATAAATCCTTGTTTTAATAGTAAAATGCAATAATAGCCACATTCGGTGTTACCTAAATAATTCAAAGTTGCTACTTTTTATATGATAAGTCATTATATACACCTTTTGTATATAAGCACGGAATAAAGAAATTCTGATAAGGTTAAGAAATCAAAATAGATCTGCTGGTTGTGGAAGCAAATAACCAGGTTGCATAAGTCCTCAATACCTGCCTGAAACTTTGGTCAATTAAACAACTTCGTATCAACTATCTAACTACAGTAAATACATTCCTATAAAATCCTTATTCAAATGATACTGAAATTCAAAGAAGTAGTTTATGTACAGCTGATGTCTCAAAATATCTCTACACACAAGATTACTTTTAAAAAAGATTCCAATTTTAAAAATCATTCATTTATTATTATTTTCTGATTTTTTGTTCAATATATTTTGTATATTAACCTTAAAATAATTGAATGATCCTGATAACTGTGAAAAAAAGATAGTTGGTTCCAAATTCTAACCATTCATAAATAGGGTACCCTATTCATAAATTCCGTCGCCTTTATTAATAACAGAATAGGGCGAAAATGGGGTAGTTTTCAATTTTCGAACTATTTTGTAATTCTTTCAATTTTTTTTAACTTATTAACTTTAATTGTTTTTTTTAATTGGAAATAAGTTATTATATACATAATATATAGTATAACCTTTATACTTTTTTTTGCTATTCTAATAAAGATATATTAAATTCGGAAGAGCATTTCATAATGTGGTAAGTGCACCATTAACAAATTCACAAAATATACGAGTTGAAATTTGGATTATTAATAATTTTAAATGGTGTCATGATTTGTATGTATTTTATTTACAGAAAAATTAACCCTTTTCCAACGTTTTGTTAGTGGCGCGTAACCACCCCAAAAATGTCTGAACATCCGATTCAATATAGTATAAAGGAGATTCTGTTGAATATAATATAAATTCAGAATTTCCTCTTCTTTCATTTTCGGTTTGAAGTTTTCAAATTTAAAACCTTTATAATATAAAAGTGTTGCTAATTTCTTGTGTTTTGGTTCATGGATATATGAAAATGCGTTTGATATCTTTTGATAAAGTTCTGAAAATAATTTAATTTCTTTGACTCGAATTTGTGAGAAATTATCAATCATGTAAAGTACCATTTCGATAGTTATTTTGTGAGCTGTTATTAATTCGATAATTTGTGAATATATTTGTATAACATTATTGGAATTGACGCCCCAAATAGTTTTTGATACTTGATCTGGGTATTCGAATACTTTAATTGGCTTAAGGTCACTGTAAGTGCACCCATTTTCATTTATTGGCTCAGAACTTGACATTCTTTTTGAAAATTTTGGTAATAGCACTTTTATTCACCTCATTTTTTCCCTTGCAATATAGACTTCTCGATTTTACAACATATTTTTTTTCAAATAAGATAAATATCGTTGCAACTCCATGGTAATGAAAAAGAAAGGTGAATAAGCTTATTTGCCATCTCTGTCGATTGTAATATCATTATCCTTTGTCCAATCATTAATTTTTTCCTGCTTGGGCTGGGGGAGCTCTATCTAATGCACGCTGAATTGCGCAGGTTGACATTCTTTGGAATGTTACTCTGTTCAAGTTTCTGATTGAAATAATTTTTATTGAAATTAAAGTGTCAGTTTTTTCCTACTGGAGTTGACATTCAATTTTTAAAATGTTTTCATCTTTCTTCTTATTTTTACGCGTTCGAGAACCAGTTGGTATAGAAGCAATACTTGATAGGTATACAGAAGAAAACTTAACAAGTTTCACTGAAAAAAACGGAATTAATATAATGTTATTTGCAAACGATTATGATCAAGTTCAATTTGCCCTAAACGGTGTTCAGAAATACAAATCAGTAATGAATTTTGGCATGGCACCACAAAAATTGGCAAGTTCATATAAATGCAAACAGTTTCCATGCATAGTACCATTTATAAATGGCAGCCTTTCATTAATTGATCGTCCGAGAGCATTTTCCATCCCATTTACACGCTGGTTATCTCACTTAGAAGAAGGATTATTCCAAACAATACGTAATTCAGAAGATCTCCGCTTATTATTAGATTCAACGAAACCATTACTGTTTTCTATAGATTCTCACGAAGTACCAGAAAGTCTACCGGAAAATGTTCCAATTTATTTTGCAAATTCTTCAACATTTTTAGAATTTAACATCAGTATTACAAAAGGATTTTACGGCTATCATCCAATCTACAAGACATTAGAGCCAATTTCGAACTTTTCAGAGCTTTTTAATACATCAGTTGTTCATCCAAAGGGAGTACGCATTACAGAGCGCCAATTTTTGGCGGGATACATTACAAATTCAATGAACAAAACAGATGATGAATTCTTTTTAGAAAATATCCGAAATTTGAGTAATAATCCGGAATTTAAAGATTTCTTCTTCACTTCGCTTCCAAACTCTAATTGCAGATTTATTGTTGAAGCAGGATCCTTCAACAAAGCTGCTGCTCCATATTTCTTTGTTCTAAATACAAGTGATCTCGTCGGATCAAATCGCAGATGGATAATTATACAAAAGGAGAACTTAATGAATGCTTCTTACGTAGAACAGTTCCTTACAAGGATTAAAAACGGTCAAGAAAATTATTCATTAGTATCTCAACCAATTCCGACCGAAGTTGACGAATACATGAAGAATGTTGTAAGAGCAGTCGGTCTCAATGTTGAAGAAATCATTATGCAACCAAAAGATGTCTTAATTGCAGTTACTGCTACTTGGTGCCAGCATTGCCATGAATTCCTTCCTGTTTTGAACCAAATTGCAGATATCCTCAAATATAAATGCGTTTGCGCTTACATTGAAGCAGATCTTAATGAATTACCTCCAATTATTGATTCACATAGTGGTTTTCCAACACTTTACTTCTTTGGAGCTACTGATAAAGTACCAGTTCTATTCAGCGGTCAAAGAAACCTCGATAGAATTCTCGAATTCCTCGGAAACCTCTGTTCACCAAAATTTGATCCATATGATATAGAAATTCCAGATGCTACTAACTCTCTCTAATCGTTTTTGCTATTTTTATAAAGATATATATGTTCTATTCTTTTAATTTTTATTCTTCTCAAAATTTTAGTAATATCTAACTAGCTATCATTGGCATTTTGATTCCAATTAGTTTTTTTTTCAGCTAAATGGATTGTAAATTCATCTTTTGAAGATTTTTTAAAATATTGTTTATTGAAATTTCATAATTAGATGTGATTTACATCTCGTATATTATACAGTTAAAAATTTTGCACGCTTTTTGAGATAAATGATCCAATAATATGTTATAAGAATCCGGAATCCGAAATTTGTGCCAGATCTGGAGTTCGTAAATCAAATCTTTATTCTCTTTGCCCAATAACTATCATTTTCGCGTCATATGAATTGAGATATCGTACATTTTTTAACTTATTCAGGGCAGAAAACAATAGACAACGTTGTATGGCCGAAGTTCAAACCAACAAGCAATGTATATGTTAAAAACATATTGTTGCGGTCCCATAAGATTTGGAAATGTCCTCCAACGATCGTTTTATATTTACAGATAAATTGATAAACTACCGTTTTTCCATAAAAATTGTACGAATTATTTCATTGAATCTATATGTAAAATAATGAAATATACATATTTCTTAGTTCTTATTTTTCAGGGAGATAATTCAATACTCGCTCGAACTTCAAATTGCTTCTAAAAGGTTAAACAATATAAATCACTCATTAATTTGCAGTTATTCGGAATTGAATTCATTTAAAAATTGAATAACAACTGTTTTAGAAGTTCTCAATTAATATAAACTATGTTTCTCTTCTTGCTGCAGCTGCTTGAAATAGATGAATCTGATTATCCAAAGAAGGTCATTCCAGAATGCAATGGAAAAGTATATACTTCAAATGCATGGATGCCATTTAAAGCAAAAAAGGATGTAATGTCACACAAGAATTACCAAAAGATGACGACGATGAAGATTCAAGTGGCTTGAGTGGTGGTGCTATTGCCGGAATAGTGATTGGCGTACTCTTAACTGTTTGCATTATTGCCATTTGTGTATACCTCTTTGTCTTTGGTGGTATGGAAAAGTTATTTGGTTCAACGGCAGCAAGTAATACAGCAGAACCTCCTCCAACTGCATAATTTCACTTTACTCTCCTTTGTTGTAAAATTTTAGATGCAATAATATCAAACACGCTCAAAATTATCAAAACATTTATTGATAATGTTTGTTTATAGAGTTAGGAACTTGTTCATATTCGAAGCAGTCTCAGGGATTTTTTTCCAAATCTTTAGACTTATTTTTGAAATCCTAATTTATGAAAAAATTAATAAACATTTATTTTTATATATCCCAATACTTATAGTTTACAAAATACTTTCAATTTAATAATTCATTTCGAAGTAAAACGTAAATTAATGCAAATGACAACTTTCAAGTTAGCTAATCCACATAATTCATGATTTTCAAGCTCATTGGTGCTGAAAAACGCCCGATTCAGCTGAGTATTTTCAATTTTGTCCAATTTTTAGGATAAAAAACAAAAATATTATAAAGTACATGGTATGTGAAAGAACATATAAACGAACAAACACCTTTTTGCAATAATATATAAGATGATTTGTTTGTTTTCGTGATATGCATCGAATTGTTTCAAATTGACGAAAATATGATCTATTCAATAGCCTATTTTCAGTATTTTTTCGTGCTGACATGTTGCTAAAATAGGAAAGGTTCCTATTATTAACTACCACAGAAATTAAATTAGTAGGCAACATTTTGATGAATGTGTGGTATTTAAATCTGCTGAAGTATCTGCCTTTTCTTCGCTGACTTGTTTGATTTGATCTTTATCAACTTCAGAACCCTCAACAATGAGGTGCATTTCATCAGAACTTACATCAGGCAAAAGCATGTATGGAGGACTATCTTCATCTTCACTAGACTTTAAGCTGGCTAATGAAGACATTGTGAATTTTTTGTTTGAAAAAAAAAAATCAATAAAAAGACGTTAGCATCATTGGGAGGATAAAATAATTAACAAAAATGATAATTAGTCTTCAAAATCATATAACAAATTATCCTTGATATGTATATTAGATATTCCGTGCTATTTTTGTTAAAAACTGTTGAATATTCTTAATTTTGCTAAATTATATAAGAAATTAAAAGCTATTTGTTTAGTAGTACAACAATTTAGTAATGCAACATTATGATATTCCAAAAATTTTCGATTATTTTTCTTCATTGATAATTGCACCATGTGAAATAAGTAATTCAACAATTTCTTCTCTATTATATTTTGCTGCATAATGAAGAGCGGTATATCCATCATTATTTTTTACATTGATATTTGCACCATGTGAAATAAGAAATTCGACTGCTTCTTTACTATTATACATTGCTGCAATATGAAGAGCGGTTTGCCCACTATTATCTATTTCATTGATATTTGCACCGTGTGAAATGAGAAATTCAGTCATTATTTCATTTTGATTCCGTTCTGCAATATGAAGAGCGGTTTGCCCACTATTATCTATTTCATTGATATTTGCACCATGTGAAATAAGGAATTCGACTGTTTTTTTACTATTTTTAGATACTGCAATGTGAAGAGCAGTTTGTCCTATTGTATATTTTGCATTGATATTTGGGCCAAGTGAAAGGAAAAATTCGCTTAAGGATGGTGTATCAAACATCGCTGAATAAACAAAACATTTGTAAAAATCATGAGTTTGATCGAAATAAACTAAAAATGATTCAAGATTTTTAAATTCTCCGCAATAATCTAGATTGATATTTATATTGTATTGATTCATCAAGAATGTAACAAAGTCAATGTTGTGTGAAATAATTGCATTCTTCATACATTCTTTATTTGGTTTTTGATATTTCAAACATTCATTCATGATTTCTGCATTTCTCCCTAAAAATGATAATTGAAGACATTCCTGAGAAATTTTTGCTTCGTTTTTCGTTATTAATATCTTGAAACAATCAATTGATCCGTAGTAACAACATAATTCAAGTAATGAATAACTTTTAAAAGATTCTGGGTATAAAACGCTATTCAGTTTTTTATTTTCGTCAAATTCTTCGCTTTCAATGAAGAAAATGAATCTTTCTTTGTTATCATACATAATTGCGCGGTAAATTGTATTTTCTAAATACATTTCGAAATTTTCTGATTTAATTTTTTCGAAATTACTAGACTTGTTTAATTTAATCCCATATTCTTTATAAAACAGGAAAATTGAAGCAAGTATAACATCTGTAACATCTTCGACGTGATAATCATCATAAATGAGTTTGACAAGATATAAATATGACTTTGTATAGCGATTATTATACGGAATAATATCTAAAATATCTTTGACTATATTTTGTGGAAGATATTTCTTTGAATCAATCAAGTCTATTTTGATCATTTTGTAAATCGAGCTTAATTCTTCTTCATTTTCCGTTTTCAGTTGATACAATGCTGTATATATATCGATATAGTATTTGTAGATACTTATCAATTCATAGAATTTATTTGGATGAAAGTTTGGATCAGACATTAGAAAATTTTAAACTAAAAATTCCATAAATCTTCCCGCCCCCCAAAAAGGGAAATTGGAAAAATTGTAAACTTTAAAATTTTTGGCGAAAACCTTAGCACGTCTAGGGACTCAGTTTGATGAAAAATTGTAAACTTTAAATTGGCAAAATAAATGCGGAAAATGTTCTAATGATTCTGAAATTTATGAGGTAATATTTCTGCACAACTGCATCACTAAGGTCCTCTATAGACAAACGTTAATGTATCAGACAAGCTTAGCTTAGGTATACAATGTTAAGAGTAAATATGCTTTGATTTTCTTGTTTTCTAAAATTCGTTACATCTGTACATATCTACAAAGTGGGTTTCTATTGTCATTGTTTTCCTTTGTAGTTTGTCAGAAAAAAGAAATCGAGATAAAAAAAATTGACATCTCACCATGAAGAGAACTGGGGCAATGAAATTTGATGAGTATGAAAGTTCAGGCTATGAATATTCGGATGGTGAGACTTCAGACGATCTGAAAAATGACAAACCTATTCAACAAAACCCAGTTAAACCAACAATTTTCAAAAAAAATGAACAACATATCCAATCAATCAACAAATCAATGATTGATGATTCTAAAAATGCCAGAATATCAACGTACAATGATAGTGATTACGATTTAGATCAAAAATTAGTAATAAATAAAGATTTTGTTTTTCCAGGTACACATTTAACAGAAAACGTCTTTATACTAATTGCCCATCCTGCTCAATTTTCAAAAGTTGAAGTAGAATACTCAGAAAAGAATCCTTATTACGCATGGCAATATACAAACGCTCCTCTTACAGATTTCTCAACCGGCGTGAATACTACATACAAATCAGCATATCAGAGTATCCATCCTTCATTTAAAGTTAATATTCTTGTATCTCCTTCAGCAGAAAAATTAAATCAACTTCAAAACTTCAGAAGAGACGCAATACCATCTCGCGTTATCTTCCATTACATCGGATACGGATTCCCGCAAGTGGATAAGTCGAACATTTTCCTTTGCGATGGAAAACCAAACGTTTTCAGACCATATCCAGCGAGAAAAATCTTCGAGAACCTCAAAACACCCTCATTCTTTATCTTCGATTGCAATAACGCAGGTGCAATGCTTCAAGTTTTCGATTCAACAGCAAATAAACAAAAATTAAAGAATAAATCGCCAACATCATCGCAAAAAATCTTTACTGGATTACCAAACATACAGTCAGACTCCAACTGGGACGATTGGATCTGTTTATGCGCAACTGACGTAAATGAAACTTTGCCAACGAATGCACAGCTTCCTCGTGATTTCCTTACCACCTGTTTATTCTCTCCAGTTGCAATGTCGATATTATGTCACATTATACAGTATTACCATACATCTTTTCCTGATCCCGGATTTCCTCTAAATGAGATCAACGGAATTCTTGCCTTTGGCGACAAAATGCATCGCCAGCAACTAGAAGATATCCTCTGTGGTTTAACAGACGCAATTGCCTCGGATTGCCTTAAACCTCAATTATATAAAAATCTTTTCAGACAAGATCCAGCCATTGCCACTTTCTTTCGTAATTTTATTCTCTCGCAATATTTACTTGCTCCTTACGACGTACATCCCGTTTCTTATCCCTCATTTGCAAGTATGACCCGCCATCCGCTCTGGCTTCAATGGAGAACTTCAATCGACCAATGGATCACCTCTACATTGACTCCTCTTCCTTCATTCGCCACAGATTTCTTCGGACATGCAATTAACAGTTTTCAACATTATTTGTCCACGAAACTTGACTCGCGAATGAAAATGTTCCTTGTAACAATATTGTGCCATGTTCCTTTCTCAGAAGTAGCGAATAATCCCAAATGTTTCCCACTTTTGGCAAAATTTGCTTCAAGATCTAAAGAAAACCGACAAAAACTTGCCCAATCCATCATTTTCAAGCCATGTTTCCTTTTATTGAGTAATACAAAGAACACGGAAGAGTTCAACAGTCTTTGTTACATCATTTTCTCGATGTTATACGAAAATTCCGGATTTATTTCCGAAATCCGAAATGACATCGATTACCAACTGTTACTTCGCTATGTTTTTGATACATCCATCAGTGAAAAGACTCGTACAATCATTTGTGGCATCATTACATTGTTAGTTTCCAATTTAAACAACATAAATCCATTCATTAACAACAAAGAATTTCATTCCAAACTGAAGAACGTTATTTCCACAGCGAGTAGTCCATTATTACATTGGATTTTGTTGTTAATGAGTCAATCATTTAATGGTATTTCCATTGATCCTGATTGTTTCGTTCCTGATTCCATTCATTTCCAAATTTCTCTTTCCATTTTCCATGGAATATTTTGGTGTAGAGCTGCAGCAATCAATGCTTTACAATCGTATTTCCAACAAGGCGATCAAATCATTAATTTGCACTTGATATTAATGATACTTCCTTCTTTCATGGATTGTTCTTATACTGTTAGAATGCAGTTAGTTAATGCTTGTGCGAAGTTTCTCCATCAAAACGCAGAAATGTTTATAATCGGATACAGAAAATCACAAGTTGTTAACTCTGCAGCAACATTCTCACAGTTGTTCGCTTTATGGTACGATGACATGAAGCTAAACACATTGAAACAGAACTTTTCGGAGTTCTTATTGAAATTGGATGAAGTTGCACACAGAAATGATTCGATTTCTCACATTTGTACTATTGTTTATTACATCATTGACATGTTATCTCATGATCCTCATCCTTTCGTTAAAAAGAGAGCAACGATTTTCAGAGGATATTTCCAGAGATTGACAATGAGTAACCATGGAACAAATAACGAAGGAAGACCTCATTCTGTGTCTCCGCCTTTCGCTTTAGATAATCTTCAAAAAGGACAAAAAGTGTCATTTTCTGAAGATGAAAGTGAACATACAGAAGATACAGAAATCTTCCCATCTGATATAACAAATGACTCTCTTTTGAGTTCTTCAATACAGAACCTTTTAAGAGCTGGACCTGATTGGATTGAACAACCAAAAATTGAGAACAAAAGTGAAATGAGCACTTATTCATTGAAAATACAATCAACATTAGTTGCTGAAGGAAGATTGTTTAAGTTCTCACCAACGCATATTGATTTCGATCCAATAAGTTTGGATTCAGCTGTAGCAACAAGCAACAAATTCATTTTCTCTGTTGACGAAACGAATAAAATCGTCAACAAAATCAGATTGTCTGATTACGACATCACTGATTTGCAATGCACAAGAATCGGAAATGACAAAGTTGTTGTTGCTTCAACAGGTGATGGATGCGTTCATCTATGGAATCCTTCTTATTCAACACCTTTCTGTTCATTCAGAGCTGACGCGAATTACAACATTGACAACATCGCGCAGTTGTGTCGTTGCAAAGGCGATAAACTGTTCACAACAAGAGGAAATAGTGGTATCGCAATGTGGGATATCACGAAACAGATGCTTGTTGGTGAATGGCCATCAGAAGAACAACACATCGCTAGCGCAATGTGCTTGAGTCCTTCAAATGAAAACATGATTTACGTCGGATACGCGAATGGATATTTGAATGCTGTTGATATAAGAGATCCAGATGCACACGTCAGGAGATTGACAATTACTCTTGGAGATAGAATATCTCAGTTGTCTGCAAGCGGAGAACTGATTTATGCAAGTACTCCTGGAGGAAAATGTGCAATTTGGAACATTGGAGAAGCAACATTAAGTACATTGAGAATTCCTCAGGGACCTCCTAAACATTTCATTGCACATAAGCATCTTCCTTTGTTGTTCACTAATGATAATGTGTCTAGTCCTCAATGCTGCGGCCCTGATGGATTACCTCTCATGCAGTTTATAGATGTTCCTTCACAGTGTATATTCACTGTACATCCAACATTGCCTGCAATAGCTTTCGCTTCTTCAGCAGGAGATATGTATACTTATATGTTACAATAATTTTTAATTTTTATAATAAATTTTGTTTATTTTTTTATTATTATATTATCTTAATTTCCTTCTATTTCAAGCAAATGAATATTGGTGAACATGAAAATAAGCATGTTGACTTTAATTGCTAAATATTATAAGTTAACGTAGAATATTATGAGCTGTAACAACTCATATATAAAATTTTGCTTTGTGCTAATTAATATGATAATCTAAGAGAGTTTGTTTTCTCCTCGTCGAACTTTGTCCAGTACGAATTTTTGTAAAAAAGTTTACTTATCAGGTCCTCTTTATGAGATGTTTATTCTAAATTTATATAAGATAATGCTGTTCATTCGACATTACATTTAGTTTATTATTGTGATTTGTTATTTCAAATAAATTTTGATAATATCCTGTGTGAGAATAGTTGAAATGAGGATATTAGCTAATGGAAAGTAATTTTGTTGTTGAAATTCGTATCAAATGCTACTGTTAAGATATCAAAGACATATCTAAATTAATTTTGTGATTCCATATTAAGGTATGTATTTGGCGTTAATTGTATTCAATTCTTTTATTATATATGCTTTTCACGTGCAACATATAATGATATTTGTAGAGAAAACAGATATAATAAAAGGATTGAAACATGCTTACTTCACATAATAAATTTTAGAGATATTTTAGTCGATAAATTGCAAGTACATGTTGTTTTCGGCATTTCGATCAGTTAATTTCAGCATGCTTAGCATTTTAACATGGAACTTTTTTTAACAATGGATTAAAAAAATATTTTATAAGGTAAAATAGTGATTTCGGACTGTTAAATTTTTTTCATGTCCAATCAAAACATTCGTCCAGATAAATACAATGAACTGAGAAGTGCCAATAAATACTACATCGATTCATACGCTGCATTGTATCAGTTAAAAACAGAAAATGAAGAAGATTTAAGCTCAATTTACAAAATGATCAAAGCAGAATTGATTGATTCAAAGAAATATTGTCCACAATATCTTATTAAAGATATTTTTAACATCATTCCTTATAATAACCGCTATACAAAGTCATACTTGAAACTTGTAAAACTCATTACTGATGATTAAGTTAATGATGGTACCTGGTATTAATTCTTTTTCTAATTACCTATTTTATGAAGAATACGGAATTAATTTGGGCATCACAATATATAACGAGACAGAAATTCAAAATCTCAAAATTCATTCAGAAGATACAATATTCAGAGCAATAATGTATGATGATAAAGAAAAATTCATTTACTTCACAGAAAGTAATGGATTTTTTAAAGATCAAGCTTTCGAAAGCGATTTATATCCATGTTCTGGATTAGGATATTCATTACTTGATTTATGTTGTTACCATGGAGCAGTTGGTTGTTTCAAGTTATTAAGAACAAAATTTAACTCAGAAATAACTCAACAATGTCTAGAATTATCATTTTTAGGCGGAAATCAAGAGATCATGAGTGAATGTTTGAAATATCAAACACCAGATGAAAAATGCATGGAATATGCAATTATTTCACACAATATTGATTTTGTTACTTTCTTGATGAATGAATACAATATTCAAATCAGATTAACTTAATGCGGAGAATATAAAAATCTTGAATCATTTTTAGTTTACTTCGATCAAACTAATGATATTGACAAATCTTTTGTTTATTCAACGATGTTTGGTATTCTATCTTTGTGTGAATATTTACTTTCACATGGAGCAAATATCAATGCAAAAGATAGTACTGGACAAACCGCACTTCATAAAGCAGCAAAAAATAATAATAAAGAAGTAGCCGAACTTCTCCTTTCACATGGCATAAATATCAATGAGAAAGATAATTATGGAGAAGCTGCTCTTCATAAAGCAACATGGAATAATAATAAAGATGTAGTCGAACTTCTTCTTTCACACGGTTCAAATATCAATGAGAAAGATAGCTATGGAAAAACAACTCTTCATTTAGCAGCAGAACATAATTATAAAGATGTAGTCGAACTTCTCCTTTCACACGGTGCAAATGTCAATGAGAAAGATGACTATGGAAGAACAGCCCTTCGTATTGCAACATATATGAATTTTAAAGAAATAGCCGAGATCCTCATCTCACATGATGCAAATATTAATGAGAAATAAGACGATAGAAAAAGATAATATATTTAATAATTTAAATTTGAACTTTTTGTGGTGCATGAATGAGTAGAGTCCATCCATTTTTATCCTTTTCTTCTTTATTGGCTTATTAAAGTTTATTTATATTTTTTAATCAAATATAATGCAAAATTAAGTGGAGTATATCCATAATGTTTTAGTTATATATATATAGTTTGTAAATGAATCCGGTGTATTTACAAATAAACCATGCAAATAAAACTTCCATTTAGATTGTCATTAGAAATGAAACAGCAAAGGTTAATACAAACTGGACTATGTTGAAAACAATAACCAGCCCAGTGGTAACATTTTGTTTTTGTGATGGTAGAGTGCTAATCCGTTTGAATGATATACACTGGAAACTCCGGTGTAATGAGAGCTCATATCTCAGTTATTTAATGAAATATATATATAATATATAATAGCTTGTGCATATTTTATCATAAAACGATAGCATTATTCTTTGGGAGACTGGATATAAACAAAAATTAAGTGTGCACTTACGCCCCTATGATGGGGCCTTCAGATCTATAAGGTTAATTTTCAAATTGCTTCACGCCAGTTGTAAAAAAAGGCAAAAGTGCAGCCTTAATTTTTTTTGATGGTGGTGTCAGTTTTTCATCAAACAAAAAAAGTTTTAGAATATTATTTGATGAAATATCCCATGAAATTGTTTAATGGAATTGCCCCTTTCATTCTATGGGCATAATATACTTTATAGAATCTAATAGATATAATAGCCATTCTATATCATGCCTATTTTTATATAGAAATGATTAGGTTTACTATTTTTACGTTTTTTAAAATTAAGAAGGGTCATACACCTTATCAATAAAAATTTTTAAACAGAAAAAAATGAGTAAGCGGCCTTTTATCTCAGACCCGAAGGTAATAACATTTAGAGACTTTACTATTGGAGAAGAAATGGAGGCTACTTTCAATGTATTGAATGTTTCCTTTGCTAAATCAACTTTTAAATATATCGGTTTTGATGATGAATACAAATCATTATTTAATTGTGATTTTATGCCACCTGGACAAATAACACCAGGAAATTCATCGAAAATAAAGCTGAAATTCACACCGACGTATAACTCAATCATTAAATGTCAAATGCACTTTAATTCACCAAACGGACCGTTCGATGTTGACATAGAATGCATGCCAAAAACAGTCGATATTCAAATTGAGCCTTTTACAACTTTAAATTTCGGCAAAGTGGTTTTAGGCGAAGATTTAGATATGCCAATAACAATTAGAAATACAGGTGCTTTGCAAGCAGAATGGAATCTTTCGGTCAGACAAGCTACATCTGATAAACAATTTATTTCAGTTGATCACGCAGACCAGATACTGAATTTTACATTAAAACATGGTATGATAGATGGATATAGTCAAAGTGGCATAACAGTTAATTTCAAACCAGAAAAACCTTGCAGTGTTTTATATGAATTACGATTTAAGTTTACTTCTCCCACAAATGCATTCGACACATTTACAAAATCGATAAATTTAGAGGCCACAGGCTTGGATGTGCCAATTTATCTTGAAGACAGTCATCTAAATTTCGGAGTTTGTTTTTATAATGAATTATATCGTCAAAGTTTAATAGCTCACAATAGGAGTGAATATGCTCAAAGATTCACCATAGAAATTCCTTCAACTTTAGAAAAATTTATTGAATTTACGCCTCAAACAGGTTTCGTTCAGACAGAAACACCTTTACAGATAGTTGTTAAGCTTAGAACATCCCATAAATTGGCGCAATACTATCCAGCAGACCAAGTTACAGTTCCTTTTGTGATGCATATTATTAATCAGCCATTACCTGTCAAATTTGATATAACGTTTACATCGTCACCAACTAAATTATTATTAGAGCCATCATCGCTTGATTTTGGCACTTTTTATACAACAGAATCGAAATCTCGCACGTTAAGCATCACAAGTTCCCTCAGAGTCCCTGTTGATTATGGATTCGTGAAGAACCCTCAAGGAATAACAATCTCTCCATTCGATGGCTACGGAGTTATTTTACCAGGCGAAACAATTGAATGTGATGTCACTTTTCAATCAAAATTAGCAAAAACGCATAATTTTGAGCTAACTTTAATTACTTTGCAAGGTTCTAAATTTGTTATCAAATGTACTGCCAATGTCATAGAGAGTCCCGTTGTTTTAAACTCTGCATCTCTTCAATTTGAAACAACTCCTCTCGGGGAATCTTCAACACAAAGTATCACTGTCAAAAACACCAAAAATCAAGCAGTTGATTTCCAAATTGAGCCAGCAGAAGGTTTTGTATTTGATCCTGTTGTTGGTACAATTCCTGCTTGCGGATTTGCACCAATAATTGTTCTTTTTGACCCTCCTTTGCCATTGAAACCTTCTGAAGCCCCTGAAGTCAATTTAAACGCTACAACAAAATCTCATGGAACAAAAAGAGAAGGAAAACATTCTTCAAGTTCATCCAAGCACCGAAAATCGAAGAAATCAGAGGATAGCGTAATAATGGAAAGTGAAGGAGAAAAGAATTTGATTATTTCTACTGATTTTACATATAAATTATTTAGTCAAAACATTGCTTTGTTTTGGAGAACGAAAACAACAAATGGAAGGCATCATATACAGATCAAAGGATCTTCTGTTCTTCCTACTTTGTTTGTTACTGCAGTTACCATCAATAAACAAGAAAAAAGAACTGACGAATTTATTGATTTGGCTTTGAGAAGAATTGATTTCGGAACTGTTGCTTTAGGACAAAGTATGGATGCAATTGTTGAAGTAAGAAGCATAAGCAGACACCCATTGACATTAAACTATGAATGCGAAAGTGGTAGTTTCGAAGTTTTGTCTCCAACAACGGAAATTCAGCCTCAATCAACAACAAATGTTAGAGTTAGATTTACTCCATCTTCTGCTTTAGTTTTTCGGGCAAAAGCAGTTATTAAATGCCCAACAAGACAAAATTGCAGGATAACATTGAGTGTTGTTGGAAGAGGTGCTGCTCCTTCAATAAATATGAGCCAAACATCTTTAGATTTCGGAAATGTCATGGTTGGTCATCCTATAACAAAAAGTTTGTCAGTTATCAATGATGGATCATTTGAATTACAATTCTTCTATAAAATTATGCCAAAAGAAGGTGCAAGGTTCAATAATTCAAGCGGAACTCCTGCATTTTCAATTGTTTCAAACAGTGAATGGCTTGCTCCAGGACAAACTGGTGAAGCTTCTGTTGTTTTCTCCCCAGATACTGATCGACAAGATTTTGAAGCGATTTTTGTTGTTTCTGCCGGAGAAGATGGGCAAAAGAGAGAAGTTCCTATTAAGGCATCATCATGGCCATATCAGATGTTTGTCTCTGGGGGAATTGAAGAGCCAAGAATTAGAACAATGTTTGATCATTCACTTCTGGATGAACCTATTTTCAGACAGTCAATTATTTGCGAAATGGCTTATCCAGGGGAAAAATCGACTTGTTCTATAACAATTGGTGCTGCTTTGCTCGGAGATGAACAGAAAAAGAGCAATGCTGATTATAGCTTTGATAATATAACAACACAAGGATTCACTGTTAGTTCTCAAAGAGCAAATATCGAACCAGGTTCATCAACTGTTGTTACTTTTGAATATTCTCCTCCTTCAAATACTTTGTTGCAAGTTGGACAATGGGTTGTTGGGGAAACCAATTTGAATCTGAAGTGTGGAGAATTCTCTAGAAAAGTTCCTGTGAAACTGAAATGTTTGATCAATATGCAACAATCTGCAGATTTATCAGCAACTGTCAAACAAGCTAATACCAAACAGCAGAGAAAGAAACCATCAAGAAAATAAGAAATATTATTTTTTATTATTATTATTGTTTGTTTATAAAAACTAAAAATTACTTAAAACAATTATTATTGTTTGTTTGATTATGTGTGCAAAATAGGTTGAACGCTTAGATAGTGGTAGAATGAGACTATATGAGGTGTGTTATATTATGTCAAGAGATTAGAATACGAAGTGAGTATATATGCGCTTTTGTCACAGGTTTATATGTGGGGATAGCGCAGAAAAATCTGTGAAGGAGTTCAGTACACGAAAAAAAGTTATTTATAACATTAAAAAAAAAATGGTAATTAAGTAAACTCTTATATCTTAGACTTTTCAATTTTATTTTTTATTTCTTCATTCATATCTCAAGTATAGGTTACAATTCATTTCATCAATGACTTATTTTCAAATCATTCGCCAAAATTGATTAATTTCGCAGATTCATGTTGTTAAACCTTGCATCATATCAAATAGAGATTAAATATTTATATTAGTAATAAACACATGATGATTTCATGGGAAATTCAAAAATAAAACTTTTATTTATCTCATTTTGGAATATTCTATAAAATCTATCAAGAAAGCTTCTACGCCCATCAAATAAGAAAATATCAGTATTTCAGCAATGAGTCTTATTTGCGTTGTTATCAGATTTAAGTGAAAAAAGCTTTTTCTATATTTGTATCATGAATTTAAAGTAACATGTACATATATAAAGTAACATGTACATATATAAAGTACATATATAATCATGATCGACCATCACAGATTTGGCCCAAATTTGTGTGGCATACTGTCTAGGAATGAGGTAACATTGTGCTGATATTAGTTTTTGAATATCTGTTAATTATATGTCTGTGGTGAAAAAATGCTATTTTAGAACCATGGTAGGGGTCATGAAAAATTTTCAATTGTTGGAAAATACAGGATATTTTTTCACGAAATATCAAATATCGATGAGCACATTTTATACATATCCTTTTCTATCTATTTATATGCAGTAAAAAATGGTAAATATTGAAGTAATGGAGGAAATTTAATCTGATGATCCAGAAAATTATGATTTTAATAAGATACAAATCTTTTAAAAACTTGTATAAATCGATATAATTCATGCAAGTCGTTCATATAATCTGTTTGTTGGTGCATCATTGAAGCGATAAGGTTCAATTTCAATTTCTTCCATATTGCCGTTGTCACTGCCTAATTTGTTGCTTTTCTCATTTTGTTCGGCTATTTCAATTTGGGGAATTAGAAGTTGCGTAAACTGCCTAATTAAAGTTGAAATATTTATATCCAGATCTGCACAGTCTTCTTTTAAGCATTCATCTTCACTTATTTCTTTGGGAAGAATTGTTTCAGAGCTGAAAAATGAATACCAATGTTGCTTTGGCTTTGGTTTGCTTTCAATGTCTTGAATAAACTTTTTGTATTTGGATAGCCTTTGCATTTCTCTTTGATATGTTAAGTAAGAACTGTAGTACGAATTTGCGAAAGTTTTACAGAGTTGTGAAAAACTTTGAACAATTTCATTGCTTGGTGTGTAATATTTCAAGTATGCACTATAAACATTGATAAGCGTTTCAAAACTTCGACATTCAGCGAGCATTTTATCTGACATTGCACGGAACTTTTTCAATACAGAAATATTATACTTGTATATAATTCGGTGATCTTCAATCAATTCTGGTAGATGAGATTCTACAAAATGAATAACTTCCATGAAAGAATTGTAACTAATAATATCATAGTTAATTGGAGAACTCATGAAAATTAAAAATGATATTAAAAATTTTAATTTAACCGAAATTTTCACAGAATTTTTGTATAATTGATTTTGATTGTATTATTATAATTTGGTGGTATTTTTATAAATTTTAAAGTCTCGTCAAACTTTTCAATGTTCGAATTTTAAAAAGTTTAAGGGTTCTCTCCAACGATAGGTAAACTTAGTGTCACTTTTTAAAGATTTTAAAAACAATTTTAAAAATAGAGCCGATATTGGCAGAGTGAGGAGATTAATAATTTCATCAGACTATTTCAGAGGGTTGAGTTTGAGAAAAAAAAATACCACCTCCACTAAGCAAAATTAAACCAAGTTCCCAAAGCCCACCCGCCGGTTTTACACCACCCCCGTCTCCACCACCTCCACCAAGCAAATTTATTATACTTGTATATAATTCGGTGATCTTCTATAAATTCCGGTAGATGAGTACCTACAAAATAAACAGCACCCATGAAAGAATTGTAACTAATAATATCAGAGTTAACAGCAGAACTCATGAAAATTAAAAATGATATTACCCAGATTTGCTTTACTTTTACCACCTCTCGAAAGCTGGGGACACCGCCTATCGTTGGGAGTAGCTATTAAATAGAACCACCAAGGGCATTTTTCGAACTGCCGGTGTAGTATAGTTGAAACATCGGACATTTTGATTCATTATGCCAAGGTTTGATTCCAATTTAGCGGAATTTTTTCTTTTTTGGATCATGAATTTTTTTTTGGGTCACTATAAGATTTGTTTCATGTTCTAAATCTGCTGCATATGTAATCTATTTTTATTTACCTATTTTTTAAAAATCTATTGGATTGCCAAATTTGAATATATTTAAAATCATAAAAATCCAAAAAAACTATAAATATATGTTTTATGCATAGTGCTGATACTCAAATATCAGATTACTTAGATCCATGAATAATATCCGAATTTTTTTTCTTAAAATTAAACTTCAAAACTTCTTCCAATCTTATTCTTAATCAATTGTAAATTTTTAAAACCATTTTTTAAAATAATTTTGCGTAAATTTTATTCTCATGTTGTTTTAATCGAAAATTGATACATTTTCAAAAAAATAATATTGACTTATGAAATTCATTTTTAAGGTGAAATAGTATTGTTTTTATTAAAGTATATGAATAATATATAAAAAATTAATGAATAATATAAGCAGATTTTTAGTTTACAAAACAAATATGAGCAATGCAATTTCAAACTTCTGCTGGCAATTTCGATATTGCTCAAGTTTGTAGTATTTGTGATACCTATAACATCGGCTTAATCAAAATTCGATTTTCTTATGAGTTATTGAGAAAATTTGATTGCAATGAGAAGGATTTCGACGTTTTGATAAACTAAGAGCTGAGCTTTAGGGGTTCAGTTCATTTATGGCTGTAGTTTGATGCGTAGATCTCTTTTTATTGTAAATTCTTTCAGCATGGAGATCGAGAATGAATCTTTTGAGAACTTTATGAGTTTTTACACCCGTAAAGAGGTCCTTCGAGGAAAGATAGTCCAGACTACATGAAGATGTGGGTTAACCAAAAAAATCCGATGGTTTCCCCATATTCATGTAGATCTTCGAAAAAATGAGCACCAAAAAAGCCAAAAAAATAGGCTTTTTATTGGATTTGTACACTAGATCAATAATCTATTTAGGATCTGACACTCTTTTTAGCCAGAGATATGAGGTCCTTTCTAGGAAAACGATCTATTCATCCATAAAAAAAATGAATTATCGTTTTCCCCAGAAATTACATGGGGAGTGGTAAAAGTAAAGCAAATCTGGGTAAAAATTTTAATTTAACCGAAATTTTCACAGAATTTTTGTATAATTGATTTTGATTGTATTATTATAATTTGGTGGTATTTTTATAAATTTTAAAGTCTCGTCAAACTTTTCAATGTTTGAATTTTAACAAGACTGTTATGTAGAATTTCAGACTGGCAAAGGTTCAAGAGCGGGTCGCCTTATTTTTTTATTTCTTTAATTTAATAAAGACTCTTATTATCAGACTATACTTGATATCGTTGAGAAACATATTTCACACACTTTGTATGAATATTGAATTAATTCAGAAAATAAGTCTCAAAAATTTTGAATCATCAGCACAATAAATTGAATGACCGCTAGGTTTCATTCAATTAAAAATAGTGCCAAATAATATATTATGCAAGATATTGCGAAATATTTTTGATAACTTGTAAAAAAAGTGTAAACTTCAGAATACACAATAATATATTATTTGGATACTATATATAGTTACAAATATTAATGCCACTCAAAAAATCACGATTCAATTTTTCTCGAAATCTAGCCTTGAAATGTATATTAATTTTACTAAATATAAGCATTATCTTATATGCTAATGGACTTTTTGCAAAGCTAGTAGTTAAATATGTATATATATTCCTCCAAAGTTCTTTCAATTTCATTGAAAGGGAGGAAAAGTTTAAGGGTTCGCTCCAACGATAGGTAAACTTAGTGTCACTTTTTGAGGATTTTTCATTCGATATCTAAAAAATAACTTGGGTTCAAATGACTTCTTTTATCCCATGGATCATCATGTTAAAGTATCATAGTCTGATGGCTACCTGGTAATGAAATTTCAAATTTAAATACTTTTTAATTTCATCAATTTTGATAAATGTGCAATATTGTGCAATTGGTTGAATGATAAACGCAACAATGTATTTAGAAGTCCTTAGTGCATCGTAAAAATTTTGTTCTTGGATCACCAGTAGCATAGATAATTGGAATAGAACATAAAATTGTAGAATTTTGTAAAAATTTCGATTTTGATATTATTTACTTACTATTTAAAACAATATTTCCTGCAAAATAAACACTTTGACGATTATTAATTTCAGACCTGGCTAATTTAATATTTTCTTTTCTAATACAATTATAGAAGGTATTTATTTTGTCTGCAATAGATAATATTAAGTAGATGCGTCTAAAAAGTGGATTTTCAAAAAAGACAATGACGATTAATAGTTGTAAACTATTTAAAAATTGAATACTTTGTATCGTTGGAGCGAACCCTAAATTTATAATTTTTCTTTTGAATCTTCAAGATTTAGATATTCCAGACACACTCCCTGAAGTCCTTTCAACATATAAAGAATATAGAAAGGTACTTTTCAAGGGATGGATGAATATGCATTATCATGAATTAAAAGTCGCAAAAGCTGCCATGAACAAAACCATTAATGCAATATTAGAAGCAGACGATCCAAAAAATAGAATTAGAGCATGCATTGGAATACGTGTATTAGGAAAGTTAAGGCCATTACACTTTTTAGATTTATTGCAAAGATTATCTTGTTTACTTCCATGCGAAGACGTTATCGCCTCCGAATTCATAACGTGTACAATTGCAAAATTCTGTCGTTCAAGTTACTTAAAGGATCAAAATTTTCTAGTTTTCGAATTGGAACGCTGCAAAGACTGGCTTTCAGGCACTATAAACGAGTGTAAGGTTAACAATGCGCTAAACCTTCTCGGATGGTTTGCTATGTTTGCTTCAACAACTCTTTTAATTTCATCTCAACAGTTTTTAGATGCTTTAACTGTAGGCATATTTCATAAAAATCTACAAGTACGTATACGATCTGAAAAGAAAATATGCGATTTCCTTGATAGATCTAAAAAAGGACCGAAAATTTTAACATTATTTCAAACTGCACGACGTCTATTAACTTCAGAGCATCCAGAAGAGCAGCATGGATCTTTGATCGTCTTATACGCATACGGAAACATGTATCCAGAGCTTTTGGCAAAAGATGCAAGTTCATATATGTCGAAATGCCGACAATTAATGAAATCTGAGGAGGAGTATGTTTCCATTGCAGCTCTAAGACTATTAATTGTCTTAGCTCCTTTAGATCCACTCACTTTTCGTAATGAACATACAGAAGCTGTCACAAGTATACTTTGGAGGGATTCTCACCCACCGAATAGTGTTGTTAAGTGCAATATTATGCTTTTAAAGAATCTTCCTGATGTTTTTGAGAACAATGACCATAAATTATTAACAATGATCAGATCTTTATTTGCATTACGTAATGAAGAATCAGAAAAGGTAAGTTTCGCATTATTACAAGCCTTTAATGTTAATCTTCCTGTAATTTATCAGACAAGACTTGTTGAAGTTGCAGGAATTATTGTTTTAGCACCATTTACAAACAATTTCCTAGAAATTGTACCTCAACTACTTCACGAGACACAAGCATTGTGGACACTCACAGAGAAAAACCTTCTGAAGAAATTAGTTTCCGAAATCAACGAAGGGAGATGCGAAATTCCATTACGAATCATTGCGAAATGTCCGAAATTCAGTCCACAAAATTCCGAAATTTTGTTGCCACTCATTCGACCACTTCTTAATTCAACTGATCAGAATATCCGTCAATACACTCCTGCTGCATTGCTTTCTCTTTCATCTGATATATATGCTGACTCTTACAGAGAACTTGTTGATGACATCCTTTCACTTGCTGTTTCAGAAACAAGTGTTGAAGTTAGATTGGCAATTATGGAATCTTTGACACCTCCTTATTCACCTTTTCTTTCATTTCCATCGGCTCTTAGCCTGTTCTCTGTTTTGGTTAATGATGATAGTTTCAGAGTGAGATCAAGAACATTAACAATTCTTGGAGAACTCGCTGAATCAAATCCATCAATGATTTTGTCAATTTTTAGACGTGTTATGTTGGATGCTTTGTTTATTTGTGAGAGTTCTCCATTACTCAAATTGCAGGCACAGACAACAAGGTGTTTTCCTATTATTATTAAAGCTTGCAAGCCAATTCTTCCTATATATATTCCTGCTTTCATTCCAATTGCAATGACGTATTTGAGGAAAAATATTTGTCATCAAAATCAAGATCAATCTTTGAAAAATTTGACAACTTTTGAACAGGATTTCTCTAGATTAATAAGTATTAATTTCATTGATACTATATCTTTGAGTTGCCAAATGCAGACGAGTTTGTTAAGTCCGCAATTCAAAGAAATTGCAAATTTGTTTATCGACATTTTGACAGAAAGTGTTCACAAATCAATTGCAATTTCTGCTTTAGATGCTTTGTGTTTTATCATTGATTACATGGGTGTAAATGCTCGTAAAGAGTTCCCAACACTCTTGAACACTTTGTTTTCGATTGGTTCTCGTTATTCGAGTACAAAAGTTCATGCAGCAATTTTTAAAGTTTACGGAAGATTCGGTGCTGCTTTGCCGCAAATTGAAGAAAAAGAGATATCGTTGACAGAAAACTTTGATAGAAATTACGAACAAGATTTTATTAATGGGCAAATAACTCTTGAAGAATGGTCGATTGTCAATGTTTCATCAGCTTTGCTTTGGTTGTTAGATGATGATCAACAATACGCAATTCATTTGAGAACTCTTCAAGCATTGACTGATATATTTAAAGATAATTCGACAATTTCAAAACCATTCTTCACCCAATTCATTTTGAATTTGATACAACAATTAAGAGGAGCTGTCACTGATGAAAAAGAACAGTATTTTACAATTTTAAGGGAAAATATAATAAAACATCCAGATTGGATGAAACACTACGCAGGAGACCTTGAAAAACTTGTATACGAATTACGAGGAACTCCTTTCTTCCATTTGATTTTGGATTTAATTCCAACAATTACAAAATATTTGGCAGAATCATTTTCGCCATTTTTGCCAGAAATTGTCACTTCACTTTTGGATACTTTATTCGAATTTGAACTACAACAACCTGAAATTGCATGCAATATATTGAATTGTCTTACTGAATTGTCAATGTTCGCAGATGACTTTGTTTTCATCATTTTAAGACAAATTTATGAAGTTGTAAATAATCCTGCAAGTTTTGATGAAGTTGTTTTGACAGCTGTTAATTCTTTGCATAAATTGTCATTGCTATATGATTGCTCTGCTTATTCAAGTCTTCTTGTTAGAGCTTGTTTCCAATGCTTCAGAAATAACAACGAAGAAATTCGTTTGGCAGCTGTGAAATTGTTGAAATCTCTTTCAAAAACTTTAGGAAAAGAATTCGAAATTTACAAAGGTCATGCAATAATACAACTCAACGCTTCTAAATTAATGACTGATGAAATCAAAGAAGCGTTCGAAAAAGATTTAAGTCTAGAAGACTTGAAACTTCAAAATGAACAAGAAAATGATGAAATTGAATTAGAAAAAAGTGACAAAACCGAAAATGACAATTCTGTTGATAATTATCAAATAATTACTAGTGTTCAATGTGAACAAACATTCACTAGTAGCCAATGGAAAGATTGGATCAGAGGCTTAAGTTTATGTGTTATTGCACAAGCACCAAGTCCAATCATTAAAAGATGTTATAGTTTAGCACAAAGTTGCACTGGTTTTGCATTGAAATTATTACATGCCGCTTTCTTAATGTGTTGGGATGTTATTAGTACTTCTACTCGATATGTTATTTGCAAGGCATTGAATGCAGCTTTAATGGATAATGAAACACCAATGTATGTATTAACAATTGTTGTTTCTTTGGCAGAATTCATGGAAAAAGCTGAGAAACATCTTAATATTTCTTACCAAGATTTGGCAAGAGCTGCTCATAGAGCTGAGAAACTTCCTTTCGCTTTATTCTGCGCGCAAAAAGATTTAGACAATAACTCTATGTCCCAGCAAACAATTGAGATGTTGTTAAGGATTTATAATCAATTGGCTCTTGAAGATGATGTTCATGGTTTAATTCACACGTTGAGAGAATCAAAGAAGATCAAGTTTACTCCAAAATTTGCTGCGCAATTAGGAGACTGGCAAAAAGCAATTGATCTTTATAAAAACGATATTGAAAGTAATGATTCTTTCTTAGGTTTGTTGAATAGTTATTCCATGGTTTCTGATTGGGATTCAATCACTTCTTTGTTCAGTAGATTTGATATTTTACCTGCTTTGGACAAATCAAACGCTGCACAAATATTTGCTTTGGCTTTTTACCATCAAAATGATTGGGAACATTTCAACATGGCAACAAAGTTTTGTCCAAATGATTCGATACCGAGTATCATCACAAAATGTTATGCAAACATAAAACTCGGACTTCCTATCAATGATTTAGTTGAACAAGGATTTAATTCATTAGGACACAAAGCAGGATCTCTTTTCCCTCATGGTTTCTCTTCGTTTATTCCTTTCTTAATTCAAGCAGAAATGCTAGTTGAATTACAAGAGAAACCGAAAGCAGAAATATGGGCCCAAAGAGTGAGAAATCCTTATCTTTCTTTTATGCAATTGCAACCATTAATTTTAATGAGAATTGAACTTTTGGGCGACAAAATTTCAGCTCAAAATGAAATCTTGACTTTGTTAAAACTCGCAAGAAACGCAAGTGAATGGAATTTGCATGATTATTACTTTAATATTTATTATCCTGATTTCGATATCCTTAAATCCCCAACTCCTGTTGTTTTTGAACATTCCGTTTCTCTTTGGAAGAGACAAGAAAAAACAGAAGCTTTAGATGTATTGAACAAACTAATAGAAAGACTAGAAAAGGAGAAATGTGATAAACAATTGACAGAACGTTGTTTGTTCATGAAAGCTCGATGGATTGTTAGATCTGATACATTAGAAAACAACGCAGATACATTTAGAAGTGTTGCAAAGATCTGCAAACGTGGAGGAAAAAGCCACAAAGCTTTGCAATTATGGGGATGGATACAATTAAGATTATATAACATGAAAGACAGTGATAGAGAAAATGCAGCTATAAATGCAATAACAACATTTATTAAATGTGCAGAAGGAATTTCCGAAATGATGCAATTGTGTTCTATTGTTTTTAGAGCAGGAAAATTCCCGAATGTTTTTAATACTGTTAAAAAGAACTTGGAAACAATTAAAACAGAGCTTTGGCTTCCAATGATTCCTCAATTGTTCGCGCAATTCATGAATCCTATAAAATATTTGCAGGAATTCGCTCAAGAAACAATTTGGCATTGTTTACTCGAGCATCATCACGCCGTCATTTTCTCTTTGATGTTTTGCATCTCGTTTAATGACTCAAATGATCAGAGAGGCAAACAGATGTTAAACGAATTCTCAAAGATAAGAAATGATGTCGTTGAAGCATCATCAATTATTTATTTAGGATTGATGACTGCTTGTACAAACAGAGCTGAAATGTGGTTGGAAAATTTGAATCTTGCAGTTGATCATTTCAAAGCTGGAAAACTCCAGGAAATGAAGACAACTCTTGAGAAGATTTTCGCATCAACCAAATCCATTAATTCAGATGCCGACCTTTATTTCGTTCGTTTGTTTGGTGACAGAATCAACAATTTGCAACAAAGTTTCAAAAGATTTTTTGTCACGAAAAACAAAAAAGATGTTGAACAAAGTTGGTCGGATTATAGATCACTTTGCAACGACATCAAGAACGAGATAGAGCAGATGTCATCAATACCTATGAGATTCGTTGCTCCAAGGCTTTCAGAACTCAATGACATTCCAATTGCTGTTCCTGGAACTTATAAACCAGGAAGTGAAGTGATAACGATGAAAAAATTTGCCAGCAGTTTAGATGTTTTTCCAAGCAAACAAAGACCAAAGAGATTGGCAATTATAGGTTCAAATGGTGGTGAATTTTGGTATCTATTGAAAGGCCACGAAGACTTGAGATTGGATCAAAGAGTTGTTCAAGTTTTCCATTTGATAAATACTTTTATTCCAATCGAGATGCCAAAAATCGTCACAAACTTCATCATGCCATTATTGCCAACTGTTGGTTTGATACAGTGGATTCCTGGCTCAGACACAATGTTCAAGTTAATCAGAGATTTTAGATCAGCAAGGAATATCCCTGTTGATTATGAATCCAGATTATTGTCGCAAATTACTACGCCAAAATTTGATGATTTAAGACCAATTCAAAGATTGGAAGCTTTGCAACAAGTTTCCAATGAAACAAGTGACTCTGTTTTATCAGATATCTTGTGGTTGAAAGCTCCTGATGCAGAGAACTGGATCAAGAGAGTTACAACTTTCTCAAGGACTTCGGCTTTGATGTCTGTTGTTGGATACATTTTGGGATTGGGTGACAGACATCCAAGTAATATAATGATCCATAATTTCACGGGTTCTGTGATTCACGTTGATTTCGGAGATTGCTTCGAAACAACGAAAGAAAGAGTTTTATTCCCAGAACTGATACCTTTCAGATTGACGAGATTCATGATCAGAGCTTTCGGACCAGCAGGAATAGATGGAAGCTTCAGAAAGACGTGTTTGGACATTGTGAAACTCATAAGAAGACACAGAGAAGAAGTTCTTTCTGTCCTCGAAATTTTCGCTCATGCTCCATTAGTAAGAAGTTTTGGAACAACCGGAATAAAGCCAAATAGAAACTCCCAGTTCTCAGCTTCTCTTCCATCAAATGCTGGCTCTGATGAGAATGATATTGATAGAGCAATTAACAGAATTTCCGATAAAATTAATGGAAGAGATTTTGATTTGAAGCACAGATTGACACAACAAGAACAAGTCACAAAATTGATTTGTTCTGCTACTGATATGTATAATTTCGCTCATCTATACCATGGATGGAATCCTCTGTGGTAACAAATTATTAATATATTTGGTATATTAATAATATCATACAAATATCATTTATATTTTTGTTTTAGTGTATAAAATATTATAAATTTCTTTAAAACTTATATTTCAATTTTGATTTGAGGTGAACTCACTTTCAGAAACATACCGTTAATAATATTAGAGAAAGTAACATATGGAAAGCAAAAATATAAATCTTGAGAACAAACATTTTCTTAATCAACCTAATTAGATCCTAATCATGATCTATCTATGGTCTAAAAGAAATTCCTTTCAGAGGTTGTCTTGTGTTATAGCGTTAAGAATCTGTATTTTACCATTTTATTTTGGAATGAAAAACTTTATTTTCCTGATGACTTAGCGATGTGGAATACAGTTGCTATTCACGGGGAAACAAATTATCTTATTTAAAAAAATAAAATTTAAAAAATGGTTAATAATGAGAATAATAGGTAATATATTTTAAACTAACAAAACAAAAACCAATAAAGTGCAGAAACGTGGTTATGATGCATCGGAAAAAGTTAATGAACAAAAATAACCCATGTAATGATTGCGTAAAATAAAATGCATGGATACAAGCCTAAAATACGCTTATCGTCTGGTATTTGAGTTTGCAAAAATTTCCTAATTGCGATTGAAGACCAATAAAGTCCTCCAGCGCAAGCAAGAAGCCTGATAAATATAATACTCAATATAGAGCATATTAAAGCACTTATACATACTGGGAATAGGCAATATCCGAGAGCGCAAAAGGCTGGGAAAAATCCTGAGGTTCCGCCAAGGAGAATAAAATTAATTGTAACAAACGCTCCACCAAAAGAGCAAATTGAGAATATATCTGTAAATAAAACTGATGTCTGTGATGAATCTCCTGACAATGCGAGAGAAACTGCGAGGAATAGAGTAAAAAACATTGGTCCCCATAAATCCCAGTCTCTAAATGCAGTATCACTTGATGATTTCGGATTTAAAACTATTAATACTTTAGATTTGATTTCATTTAAATCTCGATTTATTGTTTCCCAGACAGTTTCATTAAGAAGAGCAGATTCTGCTTCTTCACTGAGTGCTTGGTATGGCTCGTTTTGATCAATCATAATTTTGAAAAAAAAATCTCTCTGTCCAAAAAAAAAATTCTTCAACATGAAATAAGAAATAAAATACAAAGAAATAAATAGACATTGAGGAGAGGTTTCTTTCGAAACATTTTGATTACTTCTAGAGAACAATATTTTGCATTACCTAAACAATAAAAGCTCTGGGTACCTCGTCATTCTATAATATGTAAAAAGAGATTTATCTACTAATAGTAAAATATGCTATGAAGATTATATTGGATATTACATGAAAAATAACTAAAACTTTTAGCTTGTTTATAATATTCGTTACTTCTTATGTGAGTCCAATATTACTCTTAAGTAAAATTCAAAAATCTGAATAATATTAAAATCAACTCAAGATTTGGATGTTTGAAAAGATAAATGACAGTATTGAAGGTGCAGATTATAATATATATCTCAAAGTTATGCTGGAGACACTATTTTCTTAAATATATCTATCAAAAAATCTTGTCTAATTAATTATTTCAGAACGTGATTAATGAGTAACAATAGTGATGTATATCAACGAGTGCAAAATGTTGCCTGCATGCTATATCTCAATATAAACTCAAAGAAAATCCCTTGTGGTTGAAGATAAAACACTTCTTATTGAAGTTAATATTGTCACTTTTGTCCATTTGATGAGCTCTTTATACGTTTCAAATCTTCCGCAGGCTTTTGACGAAAATGAGTTTAGGAAATTATTCCAACCTTTTGGAGAAATTGAACGAGTTGATATTCCAGATCGGCATGGCGCTGCAAACTTAATTGCGTACGTCCATTTTCAAGACCCAAACGCATCTTCATCAGCTGTTGCATCATTAAACGATGTTACATTTATGGGTAAGAAACTTAAAATTGAAATCTCAACAAAACAAAAGAGAACTCATCAACCAATCCAAAGAAGTATGAATGGTGCACCAGAACCACCACAATATAATGTTCCTCGTCCAAGACCACCAAATACTCATCACAAGAGTAATTTATTCCCATTCCAAGATCCAGAAAAATTTTATTCGTTACCTTGCCGTATGCTTCCTGTTCACAACGCTCAAATTGAACCCAATTCACCTAATATGCCATTAAATCTTACAATTCCTTCTTTCGAAAGAGAGGGACAAACATATTCATTATCAACAACAATTCTTGTTAATAAGCAGCCAACAGATGCATTAGTATTCTTCTTACCCCTTCCTAAGAAGAACGAAGTCAATGAATTTGCTCAAAACTATAATAATCCCACTTCATATCCTCCCCCAGCAGGAAGTTACCCACCACACGCTCCAATTCAAGGTGGACAATATAATACACTATACCAGCCACCATATCCTAATCAAATGCAATCAATTCCACCTCAATCATATAATCATCCTCCTTATGACAATTCTTATAACCCTGGTCATTCAGTACATGTTCAACCACCTCCACCAGGTCCATCAAATAGTACTAGTGATGCTCCAACTCAGTCCGCTGAAGAGAATTCACCAGCATATAACGAAAAGCCTCAATACGCACCAGATCCACAAGGAGCTGATGATAACTCAAGTCGTGATGATTCTGATTCGCCTTCTTGGCTTGCTAAATAAAGATTGTTCTGTTTTCGATTTATAGAAATTTTCATTTTTATATATTCCCTTACTGGTTATACTCATAATGATAGTATCGCATATCAAACTAGAGAAATAAATAAACTCAAATAAAAAATTAAACAAAATTATTCAAAATAAATTAAGTAACAGTAAGTATTCTTTCGTAAACAAATTGATATGTGCTTATTGTAACAACTTGAAACAGTTCAAGTTTTGGAAATTATTGAACGCAATTTTTTTTTAATAAAGAAGTGTTAAACAGGCCAGGTGACAGATATTAAAGAATAGATGCCGTTTGTCCCGTTAATTTATTACATGTTTCATGATGCCAAATGGAACGATCCATCAACAGTAGACACATGCTAAAATGATTGGGCTATAACCGTTTGTAAATCATTCAATCAAAAAGGACAAATTCGAAGGGTAAATTTTTTTGAAAGATATATTCGAAAAACATCAATAATTTACTTCATACTCAAGTCTGTAACTTAAATCCATTCGCTTTTCTAACTTTTTACAAAGATTTTGGTAAATTTATCAATTCTTTATAACCTAAGCCTATTCTAGAGCATTTGTAGGTTACACTGCTAAGTGATATCCTAACCTTATTAGTTGTAGATGCATAATTCATGTTGGAAATCTCAGCTGAAATATGTTTTATATAGTTCTACAGAACACTCATAATTAAAATATCATTCTACTGATGAAGCAAGAAATTAACATGCAACATGAAAACAATAAGTTGAAATATTATCAACAGATATTGTATTGTTTTTATAGAATTTGTAACTGAATTATTAAAGAAAATTGATATAAGAATATTATTACACATAAACGAGAATTGAAGAGAATAATTGCGGCTTGATCAAATGGAATTATGCTCTCAATGGATAAAATTCTGTATCTGAAGAAGAATGTTATTACCAAAAGAAGCAGGATTACTTCGTTCGTTGCTTCTCTTATCAAACCAATTGAAAACTTTGATTACAAAAAGTTTGATTATTTAAATTTTAAATTTTTGGATTTTATTGTACACTCAAAATATATGCATTTTATCCTAATCAAATTTACGCAACCGAAATTTTTCATACAAAAATGCGCACATTGAAAAGTAATTACAATAATGATAAAGCGCCCGTACATACCTAGCCTCACAGAAGAGATGCATAACCTTGGCAAACGAAGAGAAAAAGAAACTTATCAAGTTCGTCATGAACTCCATACCGATATTAACGAGAAAAAAGATGATAACAGCGAGGGAATCAAGAAAAACAGAAGTTATGGAGCTTATTTCGAAAACAGAAGATACAACCAATATAGTGAGAAGAAAAAGAAGATACAAGCAAGATCAAAATCAGCTTCGCAACAAAATTCGTTATCTGCATATACTCCCAAATCACAAATTGGATTCGAGGTGAAGGGAGTGAGTATTGCAGCAAAATCAATTGCACACGTTAAAAGAAATATTTTCGATCAGATCGAACCTCATCCGATTTCACCAGATCTTTGTGTCGTAAATCCAGGTGCACATCCCTCCAAAGTTGCATTTAAAGCTAGGACAGAAACACTTAAGCGAATAGAAGAGAGAAGAGGTCCGCCGGATGTGAATTATAACGATATATTAGAGGTATCACGTCAGCTCAAAAAGTTAGAAACCATGAAAAACATTCAAGAGACATAAGCTAATTCGTTTTCACTGGTTCATTACAAATGCATATACAAAAAAAGAAATTGGAATGAATTGGTGTTATACTAAAGGAAAACATGCGGTTTGCGTTTTTGATTGATGCTAATAATATAATTGATTAGTTATGTTGTTGTAGAGTTGAATAAAATATAGTCTGTAATAAATTGATTAAAAAGCGAAAACTTTTGATTAGTCATTGATCTATCGGGGATTTATTATTTGGTATTAACTTTTGGCACGTATTTCGAATAATAAATTTATTATGGATTTTAATAGAGATGTGCTATCAAAATAGGGGGTGTGGCTCAGTGGTAGAGTGCGACTTTAGCATAGTTGAGGCCGGGGGTTCGATTCCCCCCATCTCCATTTTTGAATTTTTTTTCTAAACAATTCCTCTTCTAAAATTTTAGAATGCATACACCTCAAACAATTGATATCGAACCAGGTATGGAAGATACTTTAGTATCTACTAATGATATTAAAGGTGAATTTAGATCTGGTCGTTCTCAAACTCCGCAATTTTTGCGTGAGATTCAACAATTAGATGATCCATTAAATAGACCACTGATTAATACATCAAATTCAATAGCATACTCCTTATCCAACTCTATCATTGATCCATTTTCTAATTTAATTCGGCATTTACATATCAGTCATGAAACCAGCAAGGTTTTTCATCAAATAGCACAAAATCTTGCGACAAATACTCCAGCAACAAACTTCATACCTATATTGTTCCAGTTAATTGATGAAAAAAATGGAAATGTTCAATGCAGACTCTTAGCGCTTCAATCTCTTCGAGTTTTATCAATAAATGATGAGCAATTCTGCAAAGAAGTTTTAAATTACGATAAATTTAATTCCATTCTTGTTTACTTAAAAGATCCACAATTTATGATAGAAATCTTGCAATTACTTACCACAATTTGCCAATACGCAGACGAATCAAAAGCTGAACGTATCAAAAATAGCCTTGATTCAATAACTCAAGAAACTCGCGAACAAATTGAAGAACATGTAGTAGCTCTTTACGCCATTTTATCCAAATATGCAACAATATTCAGCGATGACAATGTTAAGAAGATAAAGAAGCATATTAACTACCCTGGAAAACCACCACTTAATGCGGCCATTGTATGGAGTTGTCTTGAATGTATTGATAATTTCCTAGCTTGTCCTTCATCAGGAGCTTATAATGCCTTGAAAAATGATAAAGATACTTTACTTGGAAAACTTGCCCATGCAATTATTTGTGTAGAAAAGAATGAAGACCCTAATTTATTGATGATGATTATGAAAGTGCTATTAGAAAGCATTGATGAGTTTAATATGGATGATATAGCAGACACTCTCAAAGAATTCCGACTTCAGTTAGTTTCTCGCTTAATTAATATGCAGAACTGTGATGACCCTGCTCTAAAACAAATGGCAGAAACAGTTCTTAAAAGGTTAAACTTAATAAAAAATAATTCTGAATAAAAAAAATTAAAAGAAAAGAAAAATGATAGTATAATTGTAAAAGATATAATGAACTTTTAACCTAAATAAAATTAAAATTTTACATCAAGACCCAAACGAGGACGATTCCGATAAGGAATAAAATCATAAATAAGAAAGCGATCATTGAGCTCTTTTTCTTGAGAAGTTTATTGACGTTATCAGTAGCTGTGACGACTTTCTGGTCTGCATTGTCCATTTTATCATTAATATTTGAAATCATTTGATTTTGGTCTTTAAGTTCTGTGTTAATTTGACCGGCTTGATACTTCTGCTGAGCTGTAATATCAACAAGAGCATCGAGCTTCTGGTCTGCCCTTTGAAGATTCTGCTGAGTTTGTGCGTGATAATCAGCCATTAATCCAATTGAAAAAAACCGTAAAAGTGAGATAAATCAGACGGTTTTTTCTATCCTGAAATAAAATTTCAATCTTGCCATGTGTAATTCGATTTGGTATTTTGATGCTATAAAGGTTGCACAGTTATTTCGATTAAAAGATCTCAAATGAGTTCCAATTCGCAAAATTATTGAATCTTATTGGCGGATCATCTCAACTGAAAATGGAGGAAAATACATAATTCCTTTAATTTATTTTAAAGCTAGTTGGTGAATCAATGGTTACTTAACTAGTTATAGAATCATGAAGGTATCACAAACTTTGCCTCAATATGCATTATGTTGATAGAATATTGGGAGTTCAGAGCAATATGTCATTATTGTAATATGACAAGAATTGATTGAATATGTAAAACAAATTATAACATTCACATTCAAATATGCTGAATTACTCTAATACATAGTATTTCTTGAGGAATATTTTAAGTCAACATATCAACACGTAACAAAAATGAATGCAATCTGGAAGACAACAAATATTATACATTGGAAACAGATTTTTCTCTTTTATTCTTTTTACTTAGAATCTGTTTTTTGATACCAATATAGAAATCCCAAAATCGAGATCAATATAAGAAAGGAATGAATCTCTAGTTAAAGTATTGGTATGCATCTTGTAGTGGTGTGATTACTAATGTTATTTTAATCAATGACGAGTTTCAATGGATTGATATTCAAGATATAGAAAAGTTTGCAATCAATTAAGCAATGTTGAGATTCAGGAATGCATATATATATTCTTGGAGTCAAGGATATTGTTGTTATGATGTTCTTGATTTCTAATAACCACGGGTTTCAATATGAGTTTGATAAATTTTTTGTGGACATTTAAAACTTTCAGAATGACATCAAAGGGGTCAACTCAATTCATAGCCCTTCGACGTCGTCTGGATGTTATGGGGTATGAGAGCTTTATACTTGGCTTAGATTCTGCTCCATTAGCTCAGCAACTATTAAATGACGTTTTTACAACAACTCGACAATTGCAAATAACGGAAGAGAATTTGAAAAAAGCACAAGAAGAACTTGATCAATCGAAAGTTCAAATTGAACCATTACATGCAGAACAAATTCGTTTAGTGAGAGAAAATACTCAATTACATAAACTGCTTATAAAAATGACAGAAGAAACGCGCGCTAAAGAAAAACAGATTACAAATAACATGTATGAAGTTCAAGAAGAAAATCGCAGAGTAAAACTTTACGCTCAAAAGAATGAAGAAACGATTAAAGAGCAACAAGCAGAGATACTGCGATTAAAACAGTTGCTTGAACTTCCTCAAGAAGCTCAGGAGCCAACTAGCAGTAGATCTACCAGGCGTGCAAGTTCAAGATCCCGAAGAAATGGTTCGATTGCACCAAGTATTGGTCAATCATCATATGCATCAAATGCAGAGCATGAAGCAGAAATCAAGCAGCTTAATCAAACTATTACTCAGCTAAAAGAAACCATCGAACTCAAAGAGAAAGAGAAAGAAACTTTAATAACGAACATTAACGACTTGAAGGATTTAATGAAACTTCGTGATGATGAAATATCAAGATTAGGTCTCGAATTACAAAAAGAAACCGGCCGTGATGGTTACATGATTTCAATCAGATATAAGAATCAGCAATTACAAGAAGAAATAGATAAGCTCCAAGCTCAAATTGATTCTGGTAACTTTACAAATCAGACTATGCCATTAAGTGCTCCCCAATCTCCAACAAAACCGCCACCATCTCCATCAACAAAGAAAATGGGTATGTCACCAATCAAATATATTTCCATTGATGCCGAAAGAAAAGAAGAACACGAAAAATCGCCAAACTCGGATAGTTCTTCAAAGAAGAGTAAGCTTACAACCAAAACTTCTTCAAGTAAGAAGCAAAATCCACCAAGCAAGAAACCAAATGCTGACAAGAAGAGGAAAGGTGTTATATTTGATATTGACGAGGATGAAAAGCCATCAATTGAAAGTCTCATTGATGATGACGATTCAAGTTCAGATAAGGGCAGCAAATCATCAACTCAATCTCAAAAGAGCAAAGAATCTGATGAATCCACAAAGCAAATGATTGAATCTCTTAAATCTGAAAACGATTCCCTTAAAGAAGATTCGAAACTCCTTCAAGCACAATTAGAATCAACTCAAAAGGATCTTCAAGAGAAAATTTCAACTATCGCTCTTATGTCAGCTGAAGTTTCATTTGTTGGAGATAATCTCAAGCAAATTATCGCTGAAAAGGATCAAATCATTGATTCTTTGAAGAAACAGATTAAGCAAGCTGAAGCTAAATCTGCCGAGCTTCTTCAAACTCAGCAAAAGCAGCAACAAAATGATGCAACATCGGAAAAAATTGAAACATTGACATTGCAACTCGATGAATTACAAGCTAAATATGATACAGAAATTGAAGACAAAGACAAGAAGATCAAGCAGCTTGAATTACTTCTTGAACAGTTATCTAGCGATAAGAATAACACAACATCAGCTCCTGTTTCATGCCCAGAATGCGCTAGATTAAGACAACAAATTCAAGATCTCAAATCTTCAATGCAAAACAGTTTATCTGAGCAGGAAAAGAATGAACTTCAGTCTCTCAGACTTAGATCACAGCAGCTTGAACTGATTATTAGATCAAGTGAAGAATCAATGCATGACAATGCAACACTTAACCAAGAATTATTAAATGCTAAAGCAAAGATAACACAAATGGAACAGAAATACGAAGAACTCAAACAATTAGCAGTTAAGTTACAAGAAGAATTAAATAAGGCAAAAGAAGACCTAGAAGAATCAGAAAAGATATCTAATACAGTCCCTGATTTAAGACAAAAGTTCAGAACAATCTTGGAAAGGATGAAAGTCGAACATTTTGCAACAGTTGAAGAACTTAATCAGAAGAATATAACTTTACAATCATTGAGCGATAAGCTTCTTGAAAGTCAGAAATTGACAAGAGATTTCCAGGAAGAACTACAGAAATGCAGAGAACAAGCGAATAATGCAAGAGAAGAGACACTTCTTCATAGAAGTAAGAGTGAAGAAGTTCAAAGGCTTGCAGCAGATAAAATTGTTAACGCTCAGAAAGAAATGAATGCAGCAGCAAACCATTACAAGATGACAATACAGGATTTGACGAACAAGAATTCATCTTTGTCCCAGATTCTTAGCGATACGAGAAGACAATTGGCAATGACAACAGAGCAGACAATACCTAAACTTAAGGATACAATACAGAAGATGACCCGAGAAAGATCAGAATTGGCTGCAAGAGTTGAAAGTTTAGCACAAATGGCTCAGTTTGCTGAAAAGTCAACTTCATTCTCTCCTGAATCAATCCAATTCATTGCTGCATTACATCAATTTAATGATCAGATGCAACCATTCCTTCCATAAGATTTTATTCTTTATTGTATTTATTATTTCTGTTAAATTTATAAAATGAAAATGATTTATTTGAATATCACATTTATTTAATTCTTTCATCAACAGCTGGAATTTCAAATTTATTCTGTTTTAATGAGAATTTTGGCAATAATCAACATCATATTGTCGACAAAAGGCTTAAAAGATTGTTACAAACAATCTTTTAAGTCTTTGTTCCTTATCCAGATACAATAGTTTAACAAGTATCTCTGATGAGGATCAAAAACTGCCATCAGGATCTGATTTATTACTCTCATGCTTTAACTAATATATATCACGCATGATTTATATTATCAATTCAATGATATGTCCGATAAAACTGGAAAAAAGACCCAAAATGGAATATTTATTGTAGAGACGACGATGGGTTTTTTGGGACACCCCTCAAACTGCACTTCATTATGCAGCAATAAATAATTCTAAAGAAAGAGTCAAATAATTTAAAAATAATTTTTTGTCAGCCTTCAGAGTGTACTTATGCCCATGTGACACAGTCATCAATTATGTTGTTTAAGTTTAAGTATGTTCGGCCTTAAAAATAAATTAAAAATAATAAAAAAGATTTAAGAATTAAGAACATCAGTAATATTTGAATAGCAGAATGGGAACTTCTCTCTGACTTGCGCGAGTTCATCTTCATCAAATGGAAGTCCTTTGAAGTAATTGGCGAGCAATTCGTATTTATCAGGATGGTTTTCAAATATAGAAGTAAATTGAAGCAACATAAATTCGAAGTCTACATTTTCGAAAATTTCTTCATTCGGTGTAGCGAAAATGAAGTTAAATAGTTCATTCTTCTTCTCATCATCAAGAAAAGCTTCATCATACAACGTAAATGCTACAATATCAAGACCTTTTGTCATTGCAATTTCGTGATTTTTCTCATTAATCAGCAAAATCATTTTCAAAACCATTTCTTTCTTTGAATCCTTCAAGAACTTATTACTTAAAATGCTCACATTATTAGCAATTTTATTCAACAAGTTCTCATTCAATTCCTTACAAACTAGCAATGCATTGTACATTGAATTAATCGCTACAGCTTGTCTCAATTGGTCATAAGAATCAGAAAGATCTCCAAGCAAATTTATTAAATTTTCAAGATCTTCTGGAGAGTATTTTGCATAGAAATAAGTGAACAAACTGAAATACTCTGGTTTGTAAGTAAACACTGACATGATTTGCTTAAATTGGTCAGGTGAAATCATTGTAAAGAAATCATTATCAAATTTTGTAAAAGCATTTGACAAATTTATACTTTTCGCGTTGTATTCGTAGTCAGGATCATCAACATCATGCTCTTTGTCATCGGAAAGAGAATTCAACTCAATGAGTTTTTGAATAAATGTAAAAATAAGCGAAAAAGTGTCATTTGTTGGCACTTTTTTGTAAATCATACACAAAATTTTGATAAATTTTTCTTGGTAATAAACGAAAGCCAAAGAATCAGTGAGTTCATTCAATATCAAGAACACTTGTTCAGTATTTTCAGCAACAATATTTTCTATAACATTCTTAAACAATTTCAAACTGTGCAAACAAATATCTGGTTCGAAAGAAAAACAACAATTTTTGGAAATTTCGAATAAATCTGAATCAACAAATTCAGGGAATCTCTTAATAGTTTTGATGATACAATCAATGGAAAGAATGTAATCTGATACTTCGTATTTATCATAGTAAACAACATTCTTTTCCAAGGAATCCCCTAATTCAACAGAAATCACGTCATTTTCGTCTCCTGGAACTTCATTTATTATATCTGGAATTTTCTTACAATATTCAACTAAATAATGTGTAAAACCAGCGAAAACACTTGATTCAAGTGGAATCGTCTTCATAAACTCTAAACAATTCTTGTAGATCTTGACAACAGTACTAAAAGGAAAAGTGTCAAAATCTAAATTTTCAAAAGTTGTAATGTAAAAATTCAAAAACAAATCATTGAAAACCAGATTGTTTTTGGCCATTGTTACGAATACTTCTGATAGATCCAATAGAAATGTCCTGTCTTCCATGATTGCTTCGAAATAATTCGAGAAAATTTCCAAATAATTTGTGAATCCTCCTTTTACGTGATTTATGAAAGCAGAGATCAATGTCAATGAATCTGCTATATAGGATTCATTGTTTGTCAATCCATTGATAACAGATATGATGTGTTCATGCAAATCTGACAAATCTTCTTTTGAATTCGAAATTAAATCGACCAAACTCTCAAGAAGATTGGTAATTATAATTTGCTCTGTTTCATTTTCAATATTTCCTATTATTTGCTCAATTAAAAATTTTGAATGGTTGTAAAGTTTGGTATTTTTTGATTTGAGAAGTATTGAAATTCCAAAACGAATTTTCGGAGTTTCAGAAACCAAAAAATAACCAATTTTGTTGATAAAAGCAGTTTCTATTCGCTGGAACATGGTGTATTCCATGAAAAGACGTGCTAAAACAATGGAAATATACTCATCAGGTGGTGATTCGCTCTCAGATTCTTCAATTACGTAATCATAGTCTTCAATTGAGACTCCGACAGAGAAATAGATGCTATCTAGTGTATCGACGATATAATACTCTTGACTTGTATCATAATCATTTGGAATTTCTGGTGTAAAACCTTGAATTAAATATTCTAATAAATTATCTCTCATATTTTCAAGTTGTGAACGAAGAGGACTATCAGTTGATATCTCTGGAAGAAGTTTTGATGTGTAATACCATATGGATGATCCAAGATCTTCATTTAATAAAAATATTGGAATTGAAATCAAAATATTTTCGTCAACCTCGATCAATTCTCTTTTTATCATGCTTTTGAGGAACTTCAAGTATGTTTTAAGGTATTTTTTATCGATTGATTCGATATATTTTTTGGTTTCAGCATAATAATGCTTGAAGTGTTCACGTTCTGGTAGATCTGCGCATACAGTAAGTAGGCATAATATACTTTCGTGGAAATCAATGAATTGCTCCATTTCTAAGTATTTTGGAATTAAATTTCTCAAAAATTCATTATTGATTTTTACTTTGCCGATCTTAACGAGGTATGAATAGACGTATACTGACGTTTTTGTTTCGTTTTGTAAAAGAAGATTTAATGAATCCGGCCAAAAATCAATTAAAAAGTAAGCATATAACCTTGAGCATATTTCTATTGTTGATTCGGTTTCAAAATCCTCTGAAAGAAGTATTTGAGCGATTTCTATTAAAGATTGAATTATAAGATTGATGTTTTCTTCGAGAAAAGCCTTGTTTTTGTGACAGATGACTGAAAGTAATAGTGTGATTGCTATTTTCTTGTAGTTAATGTTCGTTAGTAATTGTTGAAAGTATGAAAATGCAATTTGAGGCTGATTTCCAATAAATTCTAGATAATTCTTTTCTGCTTCCTCTCTTCGTGAACTTATTCCTCTCATATCATTAATGGTAGAGATAAATTCATCGATTTGCATCTGAAATCACTAATTTGAAGATTTTGAATAATTGAATGCAAAATAATCGTATGGTCGGAGATAATTATTTCTTCCAGCTCTTCACTCATGAATAAACAAAAGTCTAAAAAAGTCGAAATTTCTTTGAAAGATTTTAAATTGAAATTTTGGAATAAACGTTTTACACGTTTTACATGTTCCTTAGAGTTCGAAAATTATTAAGCCGGGCCACCAAATGATCACATGATATAAGTGTTTAGTTAAGATAATATGTTTTGGGGCTTTGGTGTATCCATTTGATAATTAGAAAGTTAAATATAAATGCAATATTGATTTTTTACTATTTTCAATGGATATACACGACAATTTGAAAAGGGAAGATGATAAGATTCATTTATAAAGTTATTATGGCCTTAATTTCTTGTAAACAACATAATTTCTTATATTGCATCAAGAATTTATCTGTAATATGACTCCTAACGGTGTTTTACTATCCTTTTTATCGTATTTAGAAAATTGGCATATTACAGATATATAAACTCTATTTCAGTGTATGTTTTGGTTAATATATTATCATGAATTATAATTGATATAAATTCAGTTGCATATCTATTTTGTGTAAAGTTTAGATGTAAAATAGCGTTCTATAGATATGATATCAATAAAATTGCAGCAAAATCAAATCAAAATCAATGGTTAATTCTTTAAAAACAGTATGAAACGAACTCTTTCTCATTAAAATCCATAGTAGTTTGGTAGCTTTTAAGCAATACAAAAACTTCAATCAGGAGCAAAAAATAATCGTTGCGACGGTTTGGCCCTTTCTTGACGAATGCCAAAAGAACTTGCACCAGCTAAAATCGAAACAACAATCCATCTCCAAAAGGCTGTTCATGGCACAACACGCAGATTCCGCGCTGAGAGAGCCATCAAGGTTATCGCCGCTGCTGCTAAGAAGATGATGCACACAGATGTTGTTAAGATCGACCCAGAGCTTAACTCCCGCATCTGGATCCACGGCAAGAACTGCCCACCAACCCGCGTTCGCGTTGTTTTCGAGCGCAAGGCTGACGAGGAAGATGCTGAGAAGATGGTCACAATCGCTTCCTACAAGAATGTTGCTACATTCAATGGCCTCCAGACAACAAAGGTTGTTGATCAGTAAACTTCGTATCTTAAAAAAATTAAAAAAAAAAACAAATTTCATACCAAGAATTTAAAAAAATATACAGACTTACTAAATTTATTTTGATATATAATTTACGTTTAAACAAATTTAGATGAAGCCACCAGACATAACACTCATTGTTACTGCAACAATGATTATAACAAGAACTGATACCACAAATGTTGCAATTATGTAATTCTGCGACATTGCGGATGCGCAGAGAACTGTAACTTTGTGGTAGAACTTATCTCTCATGTAAATTAAATGCTTATACATGTTTGGAATGTAAGAATTCACAATTGATCGCTTGTTCTTTAAAATAGGGACTTGTCCACTGGTATCTTCAACTAAAACTGAGAACGTGTCAAGGTTTTGGTCTGCTTGGCAAGTATAAGTATTAATCTTCGTAGATCCCATAGCGTAAATTGCTGGTTGCATTGTATTTTGATCGTCCATCATATTACCAATGAAAGTGCAGTATTGGATGTAAACACTGGGGCAATCATTAAATGATAAGGTTCCGCTTTGTTTATCGATTGTAAATTGGTCTGATCCATCAAATGGCATGGTACAGTAATTTCTGAGGAATTTACATCTGACTAATATTACGCTGTTGCAAGATTCGAAAAGAAATGTTGAAACATGCATAAATGCTTTGTTAAATAAGCAGTCTACCTTTTCTCCATGGAATGAACAGTTGTAGAATCTGCCAACTCCAGCGAGACCTGCTGCTTCGTTATCAAGGAAACGCATATAGTATAAATTGACTTTGCTATTTATGGCATGGATGCAGCCTGGATATCTGTATGAGACGCATTGGGAAAAATTAGAAACTCTAATCGTGACGTTTGAATTTGAAGCATAAATTATTCCTTCGCCACCAACGCAAGATTCAAAGACGGATCTTTCAATTTTCATATCGCATCTTTCAATACTAATTGGTGCATCTTTCTGGATATCCCCAAAAATATTGAAAATACAGCGAGAAATTGTAATTGAAGAATTTATTGCTTTGTATTGCTTGTCTGCGTCAAATACTAATTTATCAGATGATACAATTACTGAAACACATTGCGTAAAAAGATCATTATCTAATTGAATGTTGCAGCTTCCAAAACTAATTGGAGATTGTGCTTTATCAAATGTCGTTCCGCGAATTACTAAATTCCTGATTTCTCTTCCTGGAACATGGAAAAAAATCGGTGAAGATTTATATAAATTTTGAACTTTTGGCTTGCTAATTAGGGAAACGTTAGAAACAGTTGTTAGTGCTGAAAGCCTACTCACTAGTCCAAGTATGGACTGGCAATTTATGAAAGAAGCTAAAAGCAATAACATTTTTTTTTGGATAAAAATTGACAAATTCAATTATAATTAATTTTTACTCAACGCAGTTAAAAATCATATGGTCAAAAGGGCCTGGACCTTGGGTATTTCAGACTTTTTGGAGCTGAATTGAAAAAAAAATTGATGTATTTCATTTAATATTGTTGTTTTGAGAAAGTTGTAAGTACAACTTTAAAATCCATGAAGATATTTGTAAATTTAAGTACAAACAAATTAAATTTATCAGTATGTTTAATTGAGAGTTGTATGTTAAGTGGTTTCTCTCATAATGGCACAATATAACCGACAAGATTGCCCTATTGCACTTTGTCAGTCAAAGTTCCGAATTCAAGTTATGAATGCGGAATAGCCTGCCATTCTTGGAGACGTGCAGATGCAATATCTCCCAAAATGACTGCACAAAACATGTATACTTCTTCTCCTTAATTTACTTTATTGCAATTCTCAAATTTTTTTAATTACTTCACAAAATTTGCTCAATCACGTCTCCATTCAAACTTCCTCTCTTCCTTAATCATAGTCACATAAAATTGAGAAACGTTACAATTTCATTTCATTAAAACTTCATAATTCACATAATTTTCGACAATTATATATTATTATTATTAGTTGAATTATAAAACCAATTCAAAAAGTCTGTTACGTTCATAAGATAATTAATTTCATTAGAAAAAGTATAATATCTGTAAATTTTCTGTGAAGCCATCTGAGCGAAAGTAATAACAGAGTTTGGTGCCCAGTATTTGTTATTTGCTGCTGGATATTGTCCATTTTTCCTAATCGGAAGCAATTCAATGATATTTACATCTTTTCCAGCAAAGAAAGCGTTGTAAAGTGCTCCTCCGTGTGGTCCAATTATATACTTAGTTTTCGGAAGCAAATCCAAGCAAAAACTGAGATTTTGACATCCATTATCAATCTGAAACACATTTTCTTGGCCAAATCTGTCTTCTAATGATTTCTTTATATCTACCAAGTTAAATACAATTCTATCATTCCTTGATTGTTTCGATCCTTTTCTTTTTCTTGGAAAAATTATTATTTTGTCCCTTTTCATGTCAGGAAACTTCATTTTATCGTAATACCAACTATAAAATAATGTATGCGTGCTCCTCATCACTGCCACAACAATTAATCGCTTTGCTGACACTTTTTCTGAAGAATTTTTACAATTTTCTGAATAACTAAATCCGACTTTAGATATGATCATATCCATATATTTATTACAAGATGTTGTCATCAAAGTTGTTGTTTTTGGATCAATATCATTAGAAATCATCGCTGTTGACATAGATGGAATTCCGTGGTCAAGAGAATGCTGAAATTGGTCAAGCCAATATCCGTTATGGATGTATACTGTTCCATTCTTACTTGGATTCATATTTTGGGGTGGCCAATTACAGAATAAAGTATGATGAGTGTGATTTTTAACATGGCATGCTTTCTCATCATTCATATTCATTTCTCCATATGAAATATCCCATGTAACACTAATGTGCCACTCATTTGTGGTAGAAAATAAGAATTTTACTTCATTATCATTGAAAAATAAACTTTTAAACTCAGAATTTAATCCTAAAGGTTCATGTAATTGAATTGGTGGCAATATCATGAATGTTTCTATTACATATCCTGAATTAAACTTGATCATGTAAATTTTCTCGCCTAAAACATCTTTGTGAGTATATTCTGGAATTCCTGAGAAGTTGTGTGGTACAGAGACTGAATGATAAATGTATAAATCGTGTATATCTTCAGAATATTGAGTAAAATTTATCTTAAACTTCATTTTATCTAAAATATCCATAATAAAATCCTTGTCTGTTGCATTATTTTCTTGTATTTTGATATTTTTATCTTGATAAAGAGAATAATTTTCCGAATTTGAAGTTTTGGATATTTGTAATAAGTTTTTTAAATCGTATATTGAATAATTTGTTTGAGTTATTACGGAATGATTGTCTTTTGATATATATATAATATTGGAAATATCATGAATATTATAATAAAGAAAGAAAATACAACAATTCGCTTCGGATAACACGTCCTGTTATAAGCAGGCTTGGTAGGTAGCTCAGAGTTGTTTTTCATTTGTTAAAAATTTAAGATCAGTATAAGGATTCACCCCGAGAATTACGTTTACTCCCCCACAAAAAATATAAAAATAAAAATAAAATAATAAATTTGCCTGCATTTTTTAACAATGGTTCAGATTCAGCTGAATAATGAAATACTTCAGAGAATGAATAGCTGTCATACAAATGAGAAGATCATTTTATCAATAAACCATGCAGAAATCACATTGAACAAGTATTTTGCAATTGCGATTTCCCGAAATATATTCTCTAAATTTAAATTAGACAATAATATTGCAAAATTCGGTATAACTGTTCCAATTGAATCAATTGAAACATATAGTGTCGTAAAAGATATTCTTCAATATAACAAAACAGAAATTGAATGCGACCAAAAGATCTTAAATGATCTTTTTCATATTGGAACAGTACTTGGAATAAATGTATTAATTGATTTATACAAAACTCATGTTATTGATCATATGATTATAGACAAAAATAATTGTCTTCAATTACTTGACTTTTACTACAACACACAATTAGATGAAAAGATGACAGAATGTTGCGAATTTATATCGTCTCATTTCTATGAAATTGAGGAAAATCAACTTAAAACAATCACGAAGGGATATGCATCTGATATCCTTGAAAGAATAATTTCTAGTGCTAAACTTCTAATCAAAAATGAAGATTCTTTAGCTGACTTCATTATTTCTATAGCACAAGAAAACGAGAAATTCTTTTCTTTAATTGAATATATCCATTTCGAGTTTTGCAATGAGAAAGTTATCAATAAACTCCTTCAGATAAGCAACGAAAATAATTATATAAATATTATCAAATCTCTTCATGATTCATTATTGAGATCAAAAAATCAAAATCGAAATTATAGTCGCTTCAAAGTTCCAGATGAGATTATAACAAAAATAGATGAATTAAAAAAATCAGGTTCCGAAGAGGCTAATTTGAATTTCCTTGACGAACTATTGTCAACTGGAAATCAGGCAACTCTTTCATTTGTATTAAATGATGTCTTGCAAAGGAGTCGAAGGGGTAAAAGTGAGATGCTTTCTCAAGCATGTCAAGATGGTATACTCATAATGATCAAATTGTTAATTAAGTGTGGTTGTGACATAGAAGATAAGGATCATGAAGGATTGACTCCACTCATTCATGCATTAATAAACCATCATTTTGACGTAGCCAACTATCTTATCTCAGTTGGAGCAAATAAAGAAACTCCACTCTTTGTTTTCGCATGTGAAGGCGATCTTGAAATTGTTAAATATCTTATCTCTATTGGAGCTGATAAAGAAGCAAAGGATAATTATGGATCCACTCCACTCATTATTGCATCAAGAAATGGTCATCTTGAAGTTGTTCAATATCTTATCTCAGTTGGTGCTGATAAAGAAGCAAAGGATAATTATGGATCTACTCCACTCATTGAAGCATCAAATATTGGTCATCTTGAAGTTGTTAAATATCTTATCTCTGTTGGAGCTGATAAAGAAGCAAAGGATAATGATGGAGATACTCCACTCATTATTGCATCAGATAATGGTGATCTTGAAGTTGTTCAATATCTTATCTCAGTTGGAGCTAATAAAGAAGCAAAGAATAATGATGGAGATACTCCACTCATTGAAGCATCAAAATATGGTCATCTTGAAGTTGTTCAATATCTTATCTCTGCTGGAGCTGATAAAGAAGCAAAGAACAATGATGGAAAAACTGCTTTCGACAAAGGTAATGAAGATATTTGCAATTTTCTATCTTCAAATTGATTTTAAAAATGGAGTATGCAAAGATAAGTATTTCAAGAATCTTCTTTGAGAGATCCATAATTCATTTAAAATAATAAAACAATTCGATTGCTAATGGGTAAAAAGATAACTGTATGATTGTATTCTTGCGTTTGTTTATTAAGAAAAGAAAATGTTATTCATTCATGATGGTATCGTTGCATCAGATTATCTTTTAACTTTCAATGTATTTTCTGAGGAGAAAACATTATATATATAGGGTGTCCAAAGGTGTGTTTAGCACAAACCTGAATACTGCGAATAGAAATAAACAAGTTACATATATATAAAGTTTATTTAAATATAATCACCATTGGATTCAATCACGCGTTCGCAGCGATCGATCCAGGCTTGAAAGACACGCTTTAAATCATCATGAGAAAATTGCTCAAATTGCTCTCTTACAAAATTTTCAAGATCATCTGGACTCGCGAATAAATAAAAGTCAGAGGGTGCAATATCAGGTGAATAAATTGGGTTTGGAACAACTTTGACATTGTTTTCCACCAAGTAATTCATTACCTTATGACTTTTGTGAACTCTTGAATTATCAAAATGAATTGCAAACTTTTGTTTTTGTTGTTTGGATTTCTCAAACTCATCAGAATTGATAATTTGAGTAAGAACATTGTCAATTAGATACTGAGCATTCATCGTATTAGGTTTTTGAAGAATATCAATTGCGATGATGCCATTCACGCCCCAAAAAACCGACAACATCATCATTGGTGTGTCAATTTTTTTCTTCGGGAATGTTTGCGGATTTTCATCCTTCGGGATCCACATGATTTTGGCTTCTGTTGCATATTGAAACCAAGACTCGTCCCCTGTTACTAAAAAACGAAACTTCTTGGATTGATACGCACCCAATATAGAGAGGAGCTCTTTCGAAGATTGGACTCTAGATTTTTTTTGAACTGAATTAAGGTTGTGCGGAACCCAACGTGTATACGCTAGTTTGTAGTTCAAATAATTGTGCAGATAATAACTGACTGTTGTACGTGGTATCTTTGTCATCTCCTCTATCCTTCTGAGTGATGCTCTTGGGTCTTCATCTAGCGCTTGAAGAATAGTTAGTATACATATCAAGGGTACGGAGGCACTGCGCACCTACTTACCCATTATATGTGAATTTGACACTTTACAAAACCGTTAACGTATATTTTACAACACAAACACCAACTTAACCTTAAATATTTACAAAGCCGCCAACCACTTCACCTCACTAACGTTTTCACAAACGACTTCACTAATGTAAAAAATAAACGTTCTCACTTACAAAAGTATTGCAACTCCTCCCATTGCTGTGCTTCACATAACAGCTCATAATCTTCTGACTCACTTTCTTCTTCATATAGGTCAAAATCACTGTCAAAATAAATGTTAGTAAGTTTTGACAAAGCTAATGAAACACGCTTACCGTTTGTATCGTATGCTTGTATAAACTTTCCATTATGCTTGTAGTCATAAACGCTCAAACTAACTTTACCCTTTCTCCCTCGTATCTGATAGAATGTATTTTCACGAGGAACGAAGAACAAATTCTTGAACTCATGACCGTTGTAGTTTGTTATCTCAATAGTTTTCGTCATTTATATAAAAATAAAATATAAAAATAAACTTAAAAATTAATGATATCACCACCCTCACACGTATGAAAACATAGCACAAAAATAAATTTAGGTGAAGTGGTGAAATCTCACCTCTTTTTTCACCTGTTTTTTCACCCTGTTGAATTCATTGCTTTATAACTCTCTTCCTTTCTCCAACTCTTCTAACTTCTTCTTAAGTTCAGCAATGTTGTCCTCATGAAGTTTAATCTTTCTCAAAATTCCTTCTTTATCTAATGGTTGCTTTATCTTTCTAAACTGAACTCTACCATCCTTCATAGTATGAATGTAAAAACCTTCTGGAATAGTTCCTGATTTAATGTATTCTACCAAAAACTTTTGTTTCATTGCTTCAGTGACTTTAGTCGTCATTTCAATCAAATAAAAATTTTAATATTAAATAAAAATAACGTTATTTTTTTAGTAAGGAAACGCAGGAGTTTTACGATTTATTTGAGGAGTAGGTTCTGGTTTAAATGTTGGAGTCGGTTTAGGAGTTGACTTTTGAACAGGAGTTTGTACTTCCATAGGTTCAGGAGTCATTGAAGGTTTTGCTTGTGAAGGCGTTGGTTTTGGCGAAGGTGTTGGAGTTTGTTTAACTTCAGCTACTTCAGTATTATTTACAACATTTGCTTTATTTCTTTTCAACATCATAACTGCTACTGCTGTAGCTAGCAAACCTAGTGGGAGACCATATCTTATATAAGGACTTGACCAAATGCTATTATTGACAGGAGCTGGTGGAACACCTAACCTTGGTGTGACTGCTCTTTGCCATTGTGCAGCTCGTAAGAAATATTCAATAGGTGCTCCATAATCGTTTGGTAAAGTTTGTTTCATAGATGGTGAAGGTTCACGAGAGCTTGATGAAGAACTCATTTATAAGCTTTAAAATAAACGTTCATCCTTTATTCCTCACTGTCGTCCGTAGCTAAGTTATAGTCATCTAATCTTATTATGGGGATGCCATTAGCACGCACCTGAATGGCAAAGCAACAATCCCTCATAAATCCAATAAGTGGCTTTGGCACATTTTCAGTTGCTAGTTCAATAGGTCCTTTAACAGACAATTTGTATGTTATTGGAGCAGTAGATGTTTGACCTTGCTGGAAGCAAAAGTCCACTTCTGTTGGAAAACCACATAAGAAATGTGTGTTGTCATAGCTATCCCATTTATGTTCCACACTACCATCATCCACCAATGACCTCATAACATCTTCATTAAATCCTATCATATCATTGTTTGTATTGCAGGCGTTCGCAACCATTTCATAAAATACAGGTCCATATGATTTTTCAGGTTCTGCAGGCATATTTCCATAAGCTCCCATGGAAAGCTGAAGATATTTAAACTTAGGGTTCTCAAAATTAACATAATAGTTGTCTTTCTTTCTAAATAGTGCCCAAATACTTTTAACATTAATAGGCGTATAAGCTGCTGTAAATGTTGCACTTGAACTATCTGTATTCTTTGAGAATGAACCGTCCATAGGAATCCAATCCATAACTTTAACAGGAAAACATAAAGCCTCGTTTGTATAATGTTCTACAAGTTCTGTATAAATGTTAGGGTCTAAAGAGAATGACTTTGGATGAATGAAACATTCATTAAAATCCATCTTTGTTCGAAATAGTTGCTGGGTTACAGTTGTAATAGTAACTGTTCCACTAGCTTCTACTGCCTTCGTTATCATAGTGAATGGTTCATTCCATGGAACAAATTTATTTGTCGGTGGATTTGAATCTGAAGCAAATGCAACTTTAAGAGTTGGATTGAAAGCAATGATATCATTTACAGATATAGATGTGCATTGTAAGGCGTCGCTACTGAACTTTACTTTAAGCTGAATGTTTCCTGCAAAAGCTGGAATAAATCGAATAGCTTCTAATGGAAGGAATCTTCTAACAGGAATTCTTAAACGAAGCTTAAAATCAAATGATTTTCCTGCTGTAATTGGACCACTAACAATTTGTCCTGTTCTGCATGTTCCCGAATGACTCCATACATCTTCATGTCGAGTCTTTGAGAAAACATCTACTTTCTTTATTTGTTCGGTAGTTTGTGAGTTTGAAGTTATATATGCTTCTTCTCTTGCGTTGTCTTGAGAATATACGATACGACCATTTGCAAGGATTTGATATCCAGCAACTGCATAGAAAGCGTCATCGAAACCAATCCAAAATCCTGGTGGGTTTGTTTTATTGGAACCTGAACCAATTTCTTTATCTACAATAAATTGACCTTCCATTTTATACGTAATGAATGTATTGTAAAGGTCCAACATATTTTCACCAGGAGGTGAGAGATTGAATGTTACCCATGTGTTATCTTTAGCAGTTCCAGGTTGTGATGGAATCTTTGCGTCAGAATATTTTCTATTAGTGTCACCAATTTGAACTGCATTGTCTATGATATCGAAATATGAGCGAATCTGATGAATATGCTCTGCTGGAGTAAATTCGTTTAGCTGTTCGTTCTGCATGTATTTACTTCAGATAAAAATATCTATTTACTTCATTATTCTCACTCTTCTTCTTGGCATTCGTGGTGGAAGTTGTTTCTTGACATTTTCAATGAACTGTACATTCTCTTTTGTCTCAACTTCTTTCACTGGCGGGTCAGGATTCTTTGACTCGGTTTGTTTTTCAATGAAATTCACGAACTTTGCAATAAGCTCTTGGTTCGTTATTGAAAGTACATCTGGCTTCTTTTCTTCTGGTTCTTTTGGTGGCTCAGTTTGAACAGAAGGTTTTATATGGGCTTCGTGGACTTCACCCTTGCCATACACCTTAATGTTGTCGCTTTCTGCATTCGCTAATGGAACCTTTCTTTTTCTTACGTATATTTTACCATCTTTACTCTGACTTACGTAATAGAAAGGATGTTGTATTCCTCTTGCGTCATTTAATATAATAGACTCTCGCTCTGATTTTGACAAGCTCATTTTACATCGGTTAAAGTTTTAATTTTGTTTTTTATCTGCAGTCAAATGACTCAGACAAGCCCTACGGACAAGACCCAAGGGGTCATAGATGTTGAAGCATTGAAGAAAGAAATTCGTGAGCAAATTTTATCCGAACTGAAGGAACAAAAACAAGAACAAAAGCCAAAGAGACCAAAGAGAAAACTTAGTGAAAAACAACTTGCTGCATTAGCTGCTGGAAGACAAAGAACCCACGTTTGCTGGCGAAGAAAGCTAGAGAAGAAGCTGAAGCAAAAGCTAAAGGCTGAAGCAAAGAAAGAGTAAATGGTTTATTTTTATCCGAATTAAATGTATAGACAAATACCTTTATCTGTTGCGTTCAGTAGTGAAAACCCTGACGTCAAAATAAAGGGGAACAGAGTAACGTTTAAGTTTCCAACAGACTGGATTGTGAACATAAATGAAGAGAAGTACATTGGCATAACATATGTATATAACACGTGCTTTCAGAAAGGTTGACTTTATACTTCAAGTCGAGATAGAAAATGACGAACAGTCTTTAAGCGCCCAAAACATTCACATATACAAATACTTTAAAGACGTACAACGTTAGAAGACTGTATAATTACATTTACGAAAATTTCAAAAAAGTTTAACATTGAAGTACAAACTTTACAGCCTTTACGTGAGTTTCTTGCACAACTGAAAGAAGAAGGAATTGTAGAAAGATTAATAGCTTTCATTACGAGTTTGTAGCAAATGAAGATGGAACTCATGACTGTCAATTCATTGTATTCTTACCATTCAATGAAGTAGCTAAAAAGAAAAAAAATCCATTACGTATAAGATTTCAAATCTCTGAACCAAGTGATGATTTCAAAAATGTTTTCAATTATGATGCAATGCTTCCGAGGAAAAATGAATTTTCCGAAATTAGATTTCCAGGCATTTGGGATAGAAAGCAAGCTATATTATATTCAAACCTAAGTAAAGGAGTTGAAAATGAGTTCATTGGTCATACAAGAACTTCACCACTTCCTAACCCTAAATACTATAAATTAACTGGCTTCAATCGTGAGTTTTGGATAGACATGTTCTCCACTCATGACCATAACTGCCCAGTGTTCTTACCTCCAGACCATAAGGACTGTCTCTACATTGAAGCACAACTCTTAAACTCTACCATCACAGTATTGTAAATGACCACATGGGCTTATTTTTATCACGAATGACCTCATTGCTGACAAAAATAAATGACCTCAGAACTTCAACTTACGAATAAAGCTTGTTTTAGTCGTTATTGAGAAGTTAAACTTTTCAGCAAAGCAAGGACTAGAAGACTTACATAAGTCAAATCCAATCTCTTGACCATCATGAAGTGCTTTATATAACTTCATAACACTGAACTCAGAGTCTTTGTCAAATTTTCCTTGCGGAACCATTAAACCTTTATCTTCATCATAGAAACACTGAACAGAGTCAGGAAACATTTCATTAGCGGTTAAAGCAATAACATCTTGCTTCACGCCTTTCATTCTGCAGTGAAATGCAACTTCATTTAAATCATTCGTGAGTAAGTCTATGTAAGTCTTCTTTCCACAAAATATTGACTTGTATGCTAAACTTTGTTTATCTTTTGTGATTTCTGCAAAGTCGCTATGAAATTGACCAAGGTTTTTACCAATGAGAACTCTTCCATAACGTTTCTCAAACTCTTCAGCTAAACGAGGGATATCTTCATTGTAGAGATGCATACTGTCCGTATCGCTATAAAAGATGTCCATTCCTAAGTCCTCAGCAGTACAGAATACTTCACACATTATTCTCTTCGACATAGACAGAATGTTAACACCAAGTGGACAGAAGTTAAAGTGTCTGCAAATGCTTTTCGTTAGCTTGAAAATAGTTTTATCTGAACCATCCAAACCTTCGAACTTCACTATATGGTTGTAGTTTCTGATGGCATATCTTATAGCATCTTTGTCATTTACTATGGTTATTTTTGACTCAATAGGAGATAGAATAGTTTTGCCATAAATACTGTTCAGAATGAGCTTTATATTTTCTTGCAAAGGATTTCCTTCTTTCTTATACTTTAACCTTAACTCAAACAACTTCTTTACTTCATCTCTTATTCTCAAATCTCTGTTTCCATCGTAATAGTATCCTTGCAACACTTCACATTTGACACCTTGATATTTTATGAGGTCTTGTAATGTTATATGGTCAACATACATTAAACAGCAAGTGTTTGAACTTCTGGGAACGTTAAGTTCTGGATTTAGTTCAGGGTCACAAACTATTAAAGGAAAGTGTCTATGTATTCCAATCTCTGTTATCTTAATGAGAACAAAGAAGCCAGACATAAACTTTTCACCAATGGGTTCCTTTTGGTCGTCATCGAATAAATGTCTCATGAGATACTCTGTGCTTAACATTTCTTTCTTCAATACTTTCGGTATACCTTCTAAAGTATAAAGTCTTGCTATAGCTGATGGATATAATGAAACAGCGTCGAAGTCAGCAATGAGTTTCTTTTCGCTCTTTTGTTTAATGTTATCTGACAGCATACATCTTCCACCTTGAATACAGCGTGAAATAAATTCTCTTGGTTTATTTGAGAGGTCATATAAATTTCCATTCGGGAAGTACACTCTGTTCTCAAATAATTTGTTAGCAATTGAACAAATACTAACGTAGTCATAAACGTTTAAATCAAATTCTTTCAATATATCATTGCGGAACTTAACAAAACCTTCTCTTAAAATTCTTACATCTTGATTGCAATAAAATGTGCTATACTTTTCTAAGTCGAAGTGGTTCTCATCTATTCTGCAACCTTTGATGGAATCTATGTTTTTCATGAATGTATCTGCATCCCGGATAAACTTACATGCTTCAGAAATGACACCAGTTCTGTTGTCATTTGCTAACAAAACACTGCTGTAGTAGTTGTATGGAAATACTTCTTTCGGTCCTGTTTGTAAGTTAAACATAGCAGGAAATAGTTTAAGCTTCTTATTTATAGCAGTGTATGAGTCTTTTATAATAATTGCCCTTCCTTTATATAAGCCAGTTATTTGCATTGTTCGTGAACCTTTAATGATGGGATTTCCTTTCACTTCTGTCATGTGTCTTAAGATGAAGTTTATATCATAACTGAGGTTATGGAAATATATTAAACTCTTGTCAGGAAGTCGTTCCAAAAATTCTGTTGCACAGTTCTGACCCCAAATGCTTTCACTCACTGAACCATCTTCACTGTCGTAACATATGTTAAAAGCTTTATGAAAGCCATCGGTACTGCACTCAAAGTCAGCAAAGAAAACGTGCTCAGGAATGAACTTGCACTTATTTTTATTTACTTCTTTTGACTCGGCTTTCTTCTTCAGTTGTACACAATACTTTGGAGCATATGACAAGTCTTTAAATGGTGCAAGGTTCTGTTTATATAAGTCAGTAGTATATGTGAAAAGTTCTCCATAAGAAATAGGTTCGAAATATTTGCACTCCCACAATGTTTTCATAACATCCCATAACGGTGTTGTTCTATCATAACGAACTACATATTTATCTTATCTCTTTGTATAAATCTTCATTTGTTTCTCAATGTTCATTCCACCACAAGCTTTGAGAATTTCTTTGTAATTTCTGACGAAATATGTTGTCATTGGTAATCTTTCGTTTAGCATGTAGTGGTCTTCAACAAGAAGTAAGTCAATAGTTCGAACAGTTTCACATTCTTTTGGTATGTATCTCTTTATTTCATTATGTCTTGAGTCATTGAAATAACCAATGGTAACATTAAATGCTATACCTGTTGCGTCAGAAATTTCTTGTACTTTACTTTGAGGAAAGTCTCTAACACGAATGACTTCTCTCATGTGGTCAATAGTCTCTCCATCTACTCCAGCCTGAATGCAAGCATAAACGAAACAATTGTCCTCTGTCATAAGTGTTGCAGTTCTTTTGTTCAATTCATTGAAGATTTGGTAGCGCTCAAGATTTATAGGTAATGTGCAAAGATACTTCCAGAACTGACCGCTTCTCTTCTTATAAAACTTCTTTTCACCATTATCTTTCCAAAAGCTTTCTATAAGTGCTGGGTTTCCTGTTTGCTTAAGAGCTTCCAAAATGGCTTTCTGGTCATTTGTCAGTGTGCTTTCATCTCTATATGGTCTCTTTTTTGGTTTGCCTTTCTTTACATCTGACATCGTTAAGCCTTCATATTCTGTTAAATCATACATCTTTATTTCGGTAAGATTCTTTATGTTTGTCAAGAAGAAGTCATAGTGCATTTCAACAATACCTGCAGCATTTGCTTCTATCTCTGATATAAAGTTCTCCTTCAAGAGCTGATGTAGTAATGTTCCAATATTATTGAGGTTTAACGTAGAACATTCATACTTTCCACCAAGTTTATAACATACCATCCATCTCTGTTGTGAGTTTATTTTAATTTTCTCTAAGAGTCTCATGAAAACCTTACCGAAATGTTTGTGTAAGTAGTCTCTGTTTGGTTCATCTAAAGCTTCGATGTTAAAGTCAATGAGTCTATTGCCTGACTTCACATTTCTCTTCCTATTCTCTTCATCTTTCTTTAACCATCTCTCACCTTCTTTTGGTTTGTCGTCAATGGAACGAATGACATCGTTAGCTTTGCGAACTTGTTCTATAGCGCTCTTAAACATCTCTCTTCTCTGTTGTTTCAGTGTGTCGTCTCTTCTTCTTGTTTCACCAACGTTTGCATTTGTTATGTCAAACATTTCTCTTTTACTTCATGAGGTACTGAACGTCTATGATATAAGTCCAATAGCAAGTCATTTAAAGGAAATGCTCTTGCATGGACTTCGTCCTCGCCGCGTTGCGGCTTTATGAACTCATGAATTCTATCATAACTTATTGCACATTATAGTCTTTAATGAAGTCAGCGAGTGCTTTTTTGTTTGTTGCGTAATGTTTTGCTACTTCTATGTTAGCTTCTGTAAGAAGTTGTTTTATTTCCGAGTGTTCTAACTTAGACAACTTCCGATACATCTTTAGTAGGAAATAAAAAAAATATTTTTTGAAAAAATTAGATTAGATTTTTTTAAGTTATTTTTCAAATAATTTAATTTATTTTTATTTTAATGAAACACATGCAAGATTGCAATTCTTTTCATACAATGCTCTCGCTACTGCCATCAAGAATGAGTTCAATAATGCTTCAAATGTTAATGTTATCTTTAACAAGAAGTTTGTGAAAGAATCTAAGTTTGGTCAGTATGTCAGACCATTAGCTATCGTCATTGACCGCAAACGTTATACTTCACAAGAGTTAGCAGTAGTTTTGAAACAAAAGAGTTTCTTTCGTGAATGTCAAAGATACTCATTATACTGTTATAAAGAACTCTAATATTGACTTCTTCAGTATTGCTTTAAATCTTTCCGAACAGAAAGAATATAAGAAGGGTGAAACAAATGTGAAATATTATCCTTCATCTCTGAAGACAATAACGAACAAAGATGTTATACAGAAATTCTTACCAAAGGTTGAAGAAGCTTCTATTGACATTGACGAAGGAAGTGAAATGGTTGAAGAAATAGACCCTGAAGCTATTTAAGCAAAAATATATTTTTGGTTAGTCTTCATATCGATATTTACAACAATTCCCCAATGTATAAACTTTTCATACGCTTTTTCATAAGCTTTATATACTTCAGAAATTTTGCATAATCTTTAGAAGCATTTAGATATTGTTTAAATGCTTTGTATGTCTTCAGAAATTTTGCATAATCTTTTACATGTTGTTCGTTCTCTTCTTCTGTCATGAGTTCCGAATATTCTAAATTCATGTTCTTTCATATGAGATAAAATTTTATAAAAAAAATAAAATTAGCTTAGATTTTTTTTTTCTTCCTCTTTTGAAGTTATCGAAATATTCTGTTATTTTTTCCTTCAGTAATGTTAAGTCTTCTTTGAATGTAAGTATTGTGCAACCTTTGATGTCATAGTGTGTTTGAGGAAGAGTATTTTTGACAATTTCCTTTATTTGCTCATTCGGTGTCATTGAAATCGGTAAGTTTTCACGATAGAACCAGTTTCTGTCAGATTTATATATTTTAGCTAAGTCATAAAAGCTCTTGTTGTTTCTTCTGACTAAATGCAAACATAACCATATCTTTATCTTCTTCATTTCCATCTCTTCAGTGTATAATCATATACTTATAGCTCTTTTCCTTTCCTTTTGGTACTGAACGCGGTATTCTTTTCTGTATGCTTTTGTCTTTGGATTCAATGACTTCATTTTGCATGAAGTTTCTTTTCCATCTCTCCACGTTCTGCTTTATATAGTTCATCTAACATCATGAAAATATAACAAGCATAACGAGGGAAGCCCACATTGCTACAGCATTTACTAAAAGTCTATGAACATAATAACCTTCAAACCAGGAGCCAAATTCTTGCGATTTTCGTACGGAATCTCTTCTCTCGGTTTTCCGAGGGAAGCAATCATATGAGGAAATTTTCTAAAAGTTCTTTGTCTGTTGGTTTTCAAACCAATGATATGCTTGCTTTGTAGAAAGAAGAGCATTCATTATACTTTGCATTTGGTACATGTTCTTTGACTGAACGAATGAGACGTAACTGTTTGTTATTACTGTAGTACTCGTATTCTTCATTTATGGCTTCATGAACGATAGCAATTGTTGTGTTCTCTGATGTTGACATTACTGTCTTTACATACAAAATAAAAAAATTTGTTAGAAAAAAATTAGCGTTATTTTTTCTGAGATAAACACTATTTCTTCACAACATTAAATTTTATCCTGTATGAAATGACTTTAAAAAGATTATTGACTGACTTCGAATACTATCTCATTGACGCACTGACAGACCCTCAAAACTGTGTTGAAAGTTCTTTAAGCTTTAAGATTGAAGGTACGACGCATTTTGTCTTCACCTACGTATTGAAAGAATATGACCGTTATCATAACGAAGTGAATCAAACACTAATAAAATTTGTAGATAAAAAATTGGTTAACAATGATGAAGAATACAGACAAGTTATTGAAAAAAATAACGCAAGATTAGATGCAATAGAAAAGAAGTTTAATGAATGTCTTACAAACACGTATGAATATCTTATGCGGTGGGAAGCCAGATGGAAATAAATTTACGTCAAATATGCAATTTATAAAATCTTATGTCGACAGGCTACGTAGCACAGTGGTCTAAGGTAGTGTTATGGAGGGGTCAGGGTCTGTGGTTCGAACCGCGACAGCGCCGTATTTTCTTATTTTCTTTGTTTGTCTTGTTTGTCGTGAATAAAAAGTGTCATAAAAGTGCTCTATCTTCCACGGGAATAAATAAAAAATTTACTTTATTTCTTCTTTATTTCTTTGTTCCCGTGGAAGAAGGGTTTTGCTGTTTTTTCTCAGCCGAAATCAATGATTTTTTCATTTTTGGAATCCTTAGCGAATGAGGAATCTTTTCTCTCGTGGAAGCTTTGCCCAAAAATATAATTGAGGTGAAGAGGTGAGATCTCACCCGTTTTTTCACCTCTTTTTTCACAAGCGTTTTACATGAATTGTACGATGTATATTTGAAATCCTAAACAATTTCGTAGCTTCTATTTCTTCTTTTAGTACATCGAATGTTTTAACAATGCCGAAGGTTTCTTTATACTTCTTCTTGACGTCAGACAGAAGGAAATCTTCTGCTGTTGGATAGTTTTTATTAAGAAATGTCAACATATCCATTTTATCTTCTGCTGGCTTTTCTGCTTCTTTCTTTAAGTCTGCATAGTCGTTTCGCATTCTTTCTATATCTCTTTGACTGAGTAGTTATATTTTCTTATTGCTGCCTTACATTTTGAACATTGCGGCATCGTTTTTGCGTTATACATTGAAATAAAACCAGCTAGAACAACTAAGGCGTCAATGGTTTTCTTTAACTCAAAAGCTGCTGGTTTTATCTGTTCATTCCATACTTTACCTCTTCTATCTTTATCTCTTATCTGCCATACACATTTTGCAACTAATGAAACAAAGTTATCGTATGTCTTAAATTCTTCGGATTTGTAAAGGTCAGAAATATTTTTATAAACCATGTCGCAATCTTTGTCCATAACTTTATGGTTGCAATGAAAACCAAGAAATTCATAATTTACTTTACGTATGAATTTCTTAATTTCTACTGAGTCAGTTGCTTTGACTTCAATTTCGTCGAATTCAGGAATAGTTAGTTTTTGCTGCTGAATTTCAGGTAGTTTAGGCAAATGGTCGATGAGGTCCTCCATTTCATAAAGATACTGTTCATTTGTTTCATCTTTCGCACTACAGTCTAAATTACTTGTTAAAAGTTCTTGCTTTATCTTCTGGATTTCTGTTTCAAAAGTATATGAAGAAGGAATAAAGCTTTTCATCTCTACCAACATTGACGTAGGATTCATGACTAGCGAGTTTGATGCTGTAGTTGTGGACAGAGTCCCGCCGTTCGTGGCTTGAAAAAAGTTTAGAAGAATTATCTTATTCTTTCTGGTAAATGCTTTGTCTGATTTACATCTAATGAAAAAGTTTAGAAGAATTATCATGAGGGTGAGAAAACAGGTGAGATCTCACCTCTTCACCTAAAATATATTTTTGGTGTAAATTTATGACAAAAATAAATGGTACCATTAATAATACATGACTGTTCTCATTCATGTCTGATTTACATCTAATGAAAAAGTTTAGAAGAATTTTCTTATTCTTTCTGGCTTATTTTTGTCTTTCCAGTACTCCCGCTCTAATGGTCCCAGATGTGTTGGCTTTGACTCTCTCAAGTTCTTAGATGGTATAACATCTTCAACGCCTCCTTCATATCTTACTTTATAAGTGTCATCGTTTATGTTGGAGCCAAGTATTTCAATAACCACTCCTCGCTTTGCTTCGTCAATGGTTTCAGCAAGTTTGCCATTACTACTTTCGACTAATTTGTGACGAGGATAAAACGCAATAGAGTCGTCAGCAGCTTTGATATGATATCCATTACCTTGCGTAGAGTCTACGATATAATAGTTTCTACTTAACCTTAAACGTTTCTTTGTCAACGGTTTGTCGTCAAGAACTACATGAACTTTTGTACCAGGAATGAGGGTAAATTGTGTTGAATTTCTGATATTTTGTGTTTGGCTTCGTTTCTTTTGTATATACTTTTCTTCTTGTTGTTGTGTCATTGAATTTGGTGTATGTCCTGTTGTAGAATGTGTTGAGGAATTATATACTTCGAGAAAATGTTTCATTGTTTCTTCGGTAAAGTCTCGCTCTTGGTTTAAATCTCTGAGCGTTCTTATGAAGCGGTTTATGATGCTGAGTATGTTATGGTTATGGTCTTCAGTAGTGTAGTGAGTTATGTTATGCTTAATGAGAAAATCTGTGATTTCATTGCTGAGGTATGCACTGTCTTGGTCTGATGTTAAAGTACTTGGGCTATGTTCTGCTACAAACTTTTGTAAAACTCTTAAAACTTCATGAGTTCCTTTATTCCTCATTGGATATGCATATGCTTTACGAGTGTTAACATTAATGAAGATGAGGAATGGGTTATGTCCTCCTTTTCTGCTTTGAATGAGAGTGTCAAATTGGTATGCGTCAGGAGTGTTGGAGTAAATTGGTAAAAAGTAGTCGTAAGGGTTTATTTTTGTTTGATGTACAACATTTTTGTCAAAGAACCTTTTCACTTCAGCTCTGTTAGTAAATCCCCAACTCTTTGCAGCTTCATTGAACTTCTTAAATGACCTCCATGGATGTTGTTCGAATACTTCTTTCAAGCTCATTTATGTAAAGTTAAAGATTTTATTCTAGGCTCAAGCGCGTTCATTGAACGCGGTACCATGCGAATATAGTCACAAATGGTGGCATATAATCTGCACCCGAGCCTGTTGGATTTGTTGTGAAAGTGTGTGAATGATTTCCTCCTGGTTCAGTTGGTCGAAAAATCTTTTTTGCTGAATTGTTATAAGATGGAGATAAAACGTCATGGCCAGCTTCATACTCTGAGTTGTATAATGGGTGGTCTCTTAATGAGTGGCTATGGTCGCCAGAAAAGTTTGTCGTTCCTGTATGAGTGTGCGGTGGAAGGTTTGCTTCTTTAATTTTCTTCGAACCTCCTGTTTGCTTTGAATATCTAGCACAGTATAAGAATTTATCTACAATCTGCTTCCACGTACCAAAACCTAAAACTGTTTCTGGATTTGTTGAATTCATTGACGTATAAATAGAACCAACAGGATATATGGTTTGAAGTATTTCAGTCTTTAATGTTTGAAGCTCTGTTTTGTCTGCTTTCTTATCATATAAATCTTGAGCAGTGAATTTAACATTATTTTCATCATCCATGACATAAACATTTTTACAGCTAATTTCTTTCTTCGTTGTTATGTTTTCATTCGATGTTAAACCTTGTGGAAAGTTAGGAGGTTTATAATATAATGCATCCCCACCAGTTCCGCCAACCGTTCCTTCAATACTTTCTATAGCAACAGTTGAGAAGGAGTTATGGGTATGTTCTTTATCTGCTTTTTTATCTAACATTGCTGGTAGTTCATGTGTTTCAAAGTTTCTGACATGACCTTCAATGTTCATACATTTACTATTTAAGGAGTTTAGTGTATCTTTTACGCTTGTACTTGGATTCTCTAAAGGTGCACTTGAACCAAGGGTATAGTTCAATATTATGTCGTCTGCTCTAACAGTAGTGAAGGATTCATGTGTATGGTTCTTGTCAGCTTTACTATTTAATGTAGCTTGAAGTTCATTTATATCGGAGATGTTGTGTTTATGAGATTTCAAAACTTTGTTCATTGCTTCGAGTTCAACTTTGTCAGCTTTACTTTTAATAGCATCTTCAAACGTTATTTTTGTCTTAACTCTCAACATAAATCTTGGTTCAACTAATACACCTTTAACAGAGAAAGTAGAGACATAAATTTCATCGTTATAACCAAATGCTTCTGGTGCTTTACCTGTGTCATACTGTACAGTACAGCTTATGTCATAACCTTTAGCACGAATGTATTTATATCTTCTTTCATTAACATCTTCAGTGCTTATTTGTTCATCCTGTGTTAAATATCCATGGTAGTCCGTTATAATCTGTTCGTCTGAAGTTATATAATGAACGTGGTTCTTGACTTTATCACTCAGAGCTAAAAGCTCATTTTTGTCTGCTTTTTCGGCTAATTTCTCATTAACATCATTCACTTCTAATTCAACTCTTCCGCCAGAACTCTTATTATCATTAATCTTTTTCATTAATTCGGTAATTACGTCATAAAGACTATATTCTGTTTTCGGTTTTGTAAATAATGAGTCAAAATTTCTTTTCATCATTACATCGCTGACATTAATGATATCACCAATTCCTTTTTCATTTATTCTCTTCATTAATTCTGCAATAATGACGAATATATAATCTGTTAATTTATTCTCTTCATCGAGGGTTATAGAATGTTTTGAAATTGAATCATTAACTCCTCTAAATAAATCAATAACTTCAGGATACACGTTTTTAATGTCTCGAATAACCCGACCAGTATCCTGTTGTTCATGTTCTTCGTTCCCGTCGTTACGTGGTTTTATATCTCTAACCATCATCAACGCAGCCATAACCGGAGGGTTTGTTGCTATCTGTTCGAAAATCCGTCCGTTATGTACGGTATATCTAAATAATTTCTTTGTGTTTGTTAAAACATTTGAAACAAGTCTTTTAAAACCATCTACAAAATTTCCTGTTTCACCTAATGTTCTTGCAGCATTTACAAGCTCACCCATTCCCGCTTTTGACCCCAAAAACGTCCATATTGCATTTATTTCACTCTGTATAGTTGTCCATTCAGCGAAACTAACACCCGCATTCGCTAAGCTGAAAATGAAATTCAGTGGATCGAACTTAATTCCACCTTCTTTTTCAATTTCAACGAACTCACTAACATGAGATTTTAAGTATTCTTTCGTTAAAATTGTTTTCCCCGATGTTATGTCATTAACGAAACTATCACCGTCAAAAGTTAACGAATTCAATTTCGTCGTTGATGCTTTTATTTCATACACCGCTTTATCGATAGTTTTTGGCTCACCTTCTTTAGAAGCATATGAAACATTAATGAATGAATTATATGTATTCGTGAATGAATTAAAATCAATGATTTTCATTAATGACGCCTTTAATGATTCATTTACTGTCGAATCCCTTAAAGTAATTAATGAACTGTCATTTATGAAAGGTACACTGCAAACCGTCGAGTTTGGATCAAATGCTGTAGTTGGTGCAGGAATATTAATGATATAAGTCATTAAATCATTAAGTGACGTAAATAATGTTGTCGTTTTTGATTTAATTTCTTTAGCATCTGTTATATATGGTAATTTTATTTCTGTAGTTTCTGAATTAAAGATATTCGCTAAAATGTTTTGTAAACTGTTTTGAACAGCTGTGTAAACCGTTGAATCCGGAACTCTTACGATTTCACCGTCCTTAATAAAAGGCATTGCACATGGTGTAGTGCTTGGGTCAAATCTTTTTGGGTTATGATTCAACATATATTCTAATGCTTCATAAACAGACCTATATACGGTTGTATTTCTTCAATAATTCACCGTTTATAATGGCATAGTACATGGAGTTAAAATAGGGTCAAACTTTTCATAGTCCTTCCATGTTATGTATTTCTCAGTATTTCCATCAGTGATAACAATATATTTGTCAGTAAGTGTGAGAGAGTATTGACCAAAATATAAACGTTTAGCTCTGTCAGCTTCATACGCATATGCAGCTATACTCATATTTTAATGAGAATAAAATGTTGTTCTATTTGCAAAGTACAGACCCAAACGAATACGGGACAGTAAAGCTACAAACAAACTTAGGTCTACAGAATGAGGCGCTTGCATTCAGAATGGTTGACTTCAATACTATCGCTTCATTCGTTATAACAGATGAAACAGATTTCATGGAGATTGAAATAGATGGAAAGAAGCACGAAATAAGATTTCACAATAATGTAGAATATAAGATGGAAACATTAGCTGGAGTGTTAAATGCTCTCATAAATACTACAATAAACAAGGATAACGAAGAAAACTTAATGAATGTTAAACTTATTGCAGGAGTTTTGAAGTTCAGTTATGCGAAGGAGTTTAAGATAACACGAATGAGTCATAGAGTACAACTTCTTTTGGCATACCATATGACATTTCCTTTGAAAAGTGTTGACAAAACGATTGAGATGAAATCTGTTCCATACGTATGTTATGGTAATTGTTTGTACATTGAGTCTAAAATAGCTAATGTCACAGGCATTTCAGGAGTTAATAGTAAAGGTTCAGTAGAATATAAATCCTTCTGTTATGCAGTCAATTCAATGTTCATTCCAAACGTTCCTGTCATAGCAACTCATTTAGGTAAATGGGTTCGCATTAGTCCTCATAATTTGAAAGACATGCAATTCAGACTTGTTGACTTTCAAGGAGAGCCTGTAGAACTGAAGGCACCAGTGCGAATGACTGTTGAAGTTGACTTTTTAGAAAATATTAAATGCAACAGCTTACAAGAGAACTCAGAGCTAAAAATATAAAGTATGAATGTTATGTATTAGGTCATGAACTTTGGTTGTTGCTGTTTGATGAAACAAATGAATTAGTTATGTCAGTCAAGAGAACAGAAAAATATTGTGTTAGTGAAAACTGCACCAAGTCAATAAGATTAGGTTTGCATTATGAAGATGAGTTCGATACTGTTGAAGAAGTTTTGGATAGATATTACAAATTGCTAACTTGAAATTTTTTTGACTGACGGCGCAAAGCGCCAAGATGGGCTCAAAGAGCCCTCCTGACTGCTTTAATTTACTAAAACATATTTCAAACAAAGTTTATATTCTGTTGAAGTTTTGTATACTCGTTCGAATATTTATACTTAAACTCAACTCCTGTAGTTCCTGGTGTTTCAATGATGCGGATGTTACCTATTTTCATGAATAGTGGAGTTTGACCACAGCATTCGATTTCAGGGTCGAGATAGTCAATGACACATTGTTTCCCTGTTATTCGTGAGATAACATTTTCAAGGTCCTCCTTTGTTAGAATTATTTGGTTCTTACTTATAAGATTTGTCAAAAGCTTCTTATCGTCTTTGAGTAAAATTGTTTGGTATAACTGAAGAAGGTAATGGTCTACGTTATCTGAAGGATTTGTTTGAACATTTGTGTAAGGGTTGTCGTTGGCTTCTCTTGAAAGAATTTGGTCCAGTGGTGGATACTCTAACTTAACATCTGATGTAGCGTTAGCGTTTGAAGCTGTGTTTAAATTCACGACTTAAGTTGGTTCTTTTTTTTCAAACACTCTGAACTATAGTTCTTTATGACAATATTGTTTGTCGTTCGTGAGTCAACATTTGATGTTGGTTCAATTGGAACATTAACGGCACCAGCTAAGATGGATTTGCTTCTCATTTCATATAGAATAAAAACCTTTTATATGTATGAAATGAACAATATACTCGACAAGGGTTTGAATGTAAAGCTAACGAATGAAAATATTGTTGAATTCACTGAGACAGGTGCTGTGTATAAAGATGTAGAACTACTGAACAAAAGAGCTAAGGGAAGAAGCAGGAACATGAACAAAGGGTGGAAGCCTATAAAAATTTATGTCAATGATGGCTCAGGAGGTTCAAACATAAAGTATGCAGAAAGTTATAGAGTTTATGCTCTCAAAGGTGAAAAGCCTTCATTTAAGAACAGCTATTCTAACGCATATCCTCAAAAGCTAACGGATGGGGAAGTGGATGATATGAATGACAGCAAAAATATTAACAGAAATGGCGACAGAGATGCATGGAATTTGTTTACCATCAGTCAATTGAAGGTTAAACTTTAAAACAATGTTGGTCGTTCCCATGGAATATTTTTGACTTTAATGGTATTAGTCATGATATGAATCTCAAGGTATGAACGAGGAGAGATGAGAGACTTATATGCTTCCCAAATTTCTTCAAAAGGTAATGTTATACCTGACTGTTTCCAAATGAGTTCAATATCATAGCGTGAGAAACCTTGAAAGATAACGAAGTCAGTTATGAGACGTTTTATGTTTAAAGCTAAAAACCTCCATGTTTGCATAAGTATTGCTACAGTTAAGTGGTAATGTCTGACTTTAGTTATGATGTTAGCTAATGGTGAGTCTGGTTTTGACACTAAACCTTTTCCGGCGAAGTCGTCACAAACGAGCAGAGTGTTTGAAGGATATTTTTGAAGGGGTATTTTGAAAGTTTTGATAGAATGTAGTTTGTAAGTCGTTTCATATCGTAAACTCCTGAGTACTGACGTAAGTGGTGTTTGTCAATAATTCTTTCCATCTCCTCAGAAGTCTTTTGCATTCCTGACTGTATAAATTCAACGATGGCATAATATTTCCTCTTACGTCGAATGTAACGTTGAAGAAATTCAATGAGTTCACTGTCTGGAACTTTAACGACAGAGGCTTGAACTTTTGACATAAATGTTTTCGCTGTTGAGTCCATAGAGTCTGAAGTTGCTGATATAATGATTTGGTCATAGTAAGAGTCGTTTCCTAAACGCTCTGTTATGAGTATATGACGAATGAGGTTAAATGTCTTACCTGAACCCATCTTTCCACAATAGAAATAAACACCATTTGAACAGAACTCATAATCTTTGCTGAAAGGAAGAATAAGAAGAAGTTAAGTTTGTCTGTAGTTTCATTCATGTCTTCATCTACGTCATGTATTAAATGCTTCATTTTATCTCCATTAAAAATGCAAGTCAGAAATATTCAGAACATAGCACCGAGTCTAACTGACAAGAGTATAAAGATATACTATGAACACGTTATGATGAAACCAACCAAAATTCAAGAAAGTCAGTATACTTATGAATATCCAAGACACTGGGTAGAGTATGTAGGAGGTGAGAAAGCTATTGAAATCAGACAGGTTCGAAGTATTCCAGCAGGAAGAACAATATTATTGAAGAACTTTAATGTTTTGAGATATAATGATGAAACAAAGAAGCAAGATAGTTTCCTGTTGCTGTGTATGTGAACTTAGATACAGGAGATGACATGAAAGTTTTTAATACAAAGCTTCAAACGGTAGTGAGAGAACAACTGACTGCGGAAGGACATCCATTACCTTCAGAAGTTACCATAGCATATAATTTTGAAACAAACTCAATAGATTTTAAAGTCATCTCTGCAAAGAAGTCAGGTTTTACATTTAATGAAGCAGATGTATATTCGAATGAAAACTTCAAAGCTATTGCATGGTTAGATAATGACGATTGCTTTAAGAAAATATTTAAATACAGTGACTCAACGATGTCAATAGATGACCTTCGTGGAATGTTACCATCGACGTTTACAGTAGAAGGTTCAGCAGGATTGCTTACAAGATTGTCAATTGGTGGTATTTGGTCTCGTGAGAACATTGTTATAAAATCCAGTATAAGTGAATTTGCTGAAGAATCTATATTATGTCTTTCAAACTACATGTATTCGCCGCCGAAGCATTATAGTATAACAAACTTTGTCAGTAAGTTTAACATAAGACTTGTCGAACCTTCTTCAATGAAAGATGTTGTGCTACCTAAAGA